CATGATAGAAGTTCATCCTATCAGCATGATATTCCATTCCTCTTAAACGAGTTCCAATCAGGGGCGTGATTTCAGAATTTATCTGAGAGACCAAAGCAAATGAATGGAAAAAAATCTTGGATCTTCAAGCTCATGAACATATTAAGAAGAGAGAATAACTAAAAATCATATCTACAACTTTAAATCATATGGATATCAGAAAATTTATTTTAGTCTTTTCTGAAGATGCTAACATAGTTAGCGAAACGCGTTAAAACATCGGTTTGGTAGGTAGTAAAACAGTTTGAAGTTAGCTTCGTTTGCGAGATACAGGGTGTTGAAGTTGAAAATAAAAAATAAGTTTCATTGAATTTCTAGATAACCGCTGGACAAAAATTCTTGATATTCTGATGCATAACTCAGTACCTGAGAGTGATTGAATAGGTTGCATTAATCAGTCAATCTGTCTCCCAGTGGCATCGTCAAGAGGTATAGATGTGTGATTTTTCAAAAAAAACATGGGTGGCGATGATACTCTTCGAAATTTTATTCGAAAATATGAAAAAGCATGCAATTTCGTTGAAAAGAGCATGTTGAAATTCGTAAAGATACACTGTTATCGAGAAAAACCAAATTCAATTCAAATTCAATGATAGATATCATTATGTGATTGTGGCACTATGCCAGTCACATAACAGACTAAATTTCACCACCACGATAAGCCATACAGCGTGGACATAAAAAAATCTATGTATCTTTCCAACTCCAACACCCTGTATCTCGCAAACGAAGCCTTCTAAGACTTTTATTCATGGGAACTTTTTCATTTCCTTGAGACGCCCATCACAAGTGCGTCCCACATATTATGAAACACCTTTGCAATTTTGGAGAAATTTTCCAAATAGCAATGTATCAATATTCAAAAATTGAATATTCAAAATATCATATTTATATATTGACATTGACATGGAGTGTAAAAATATAATTAACTTTATTTTCGAAACTCACCGAGTTCAACCTGCATTATGTGATATGAGTCTTTTGGTGAACTGTAATCGTCAATAACTCAATAATTTTAGATCACAGCTCTATCGATCTATTGAAGAATATATAGTGTGACTCACTTCTAATGGAAACATTCCTATATCTTACGTAATCGTTGGGTAAAGATCCTGAAATTTGCTGGAGCGAGAAATATACCAAAAATGCACTCTATGACCAAGTGGGGTCATCTTCAGTGATATACACTGCTCGCCAACAGCCATATGAAACCACCCCAATTTCCGGAAAATGATATTAGGCGTCAAAATAGGTCAAAAATCACATCAGATTCGGAATCAGGACGGCCAATTCACTAGCTATCCATATTTTTCCTGGAAAATTTTTAGTTCTGAATGAATAAATTTGGTCGCAATTTTTACGGAAGCACCTTCGTATCTTACGTAATTGATTTTATCTTTGGATTTTCCCTTCCTTCTGCAAATTTCAGAACCCTACCTCAATTAACACGTGGGATACGGGGGTGCTTCCATGAGAAGTGAGACAAAATTTAATTTTTCTGAACTGGAAATTTGATAGGAAAACTATGAATAGCTAATGAATTGGGCGTCCTGATTCCGAATCCGAAGTGATTTTCAACCTATTTTGACTCCTAATATCATTTTCCGGAAATTGGGGTGGTTCCATATGGCTGTTGGCGAGCAGTGTATATCACTGAGGATGGCCCCACTTGGTCATAGAGTGCATTTTTGGTATATCTCTCGCTCCAACAAATTTCAGGATCCTTACTCAACGATTACGTAAGATACAGGGGTGTTTCCATTAGAAGTGGGTCACACTGTATATCGTGTTCTATTTGAAAAATAAAAGTTGAAGTAAATTCTCGGAAAAATAAAATATCCTGTAACCAACAAATATCTTGAAATTAAAATCCAAGCTATTTCATCCAATAACTTTTGTATTCACCATTTCTCCGTTAATTCAAAAACAGAAAAATCGAAGGGAGATGCAATTTCAAGAGCACCCTGTACGTATGACTTATCAAGTTGTAAGATGTGTTCTTACTGATATGTTTTCCGGCTTAAGGAATGTATTGATATAGGATTGTTTGTTCGTAAGAGCTATCTGAACCCTTCACTCAGATATCAGGATATGATTATCCTACCCTGACCCCTTGATGACGCGCCACTGGTTCCAATCTCGAATATCATTGCCAGAAAGGCGTTTCGACTTAAAATTCCAAGGGTGAGTCTCCCGAGCAGTCTCCATATATTTTTTATTGTCGATTCATTGGTTGTGGTAACTTGAATTCCACTGGTCGATGACTCGAAAAAAAAGTGTCAACTACTATCTTCATCTTTACACGCATATAAAAGAAGCGCTTTTGAACATTTAATGTCACTGGCCAGATCCTCGCGGCAAAGTTAACAACCTCACCTGCGGTCATCTTCAGTAGTGACCAATAGTGTTTTGTGTACTATACGTGAGTATATTTAGAATTGATGAAACAAATATTTGATACAATTCGAGAAGTTTAACGAAGTTGTGCATGAAACAAAAAAAACACATAATTATGAAAAATATAAAGTTTTCAAAATAACTGAACAAGAAACAATGTTTTTACTGAACTATATAACTGATGATCATATACAAAAGGGAACATACTCTTTTCTATAGAATTTGCAGAATTGATGGTGAGTCAAGTATTGGAAACAACAGAGTTCGGTTCTGTTCCTCACTTAACGTTAAAAGCATTTAAAAGTACCTAGTGGTTCTCATAGTATTTTTATTTAAATGAAAATATAAGAACCCTCTGGAGTTGATTGGGAAAAACGTACTTACGCTTGAAATAATTGGAATCATTCGAAGTATGAAATAACTGTCATGTATCATTGTTCGAGAAAATATAATGTACATCCTCCTACACATGCATATAATATATATAGTATGCAGAGGCATACTTACCTACAGGGTGTCCCAAGTTATCGCATACAGGCAATATCTCGCTTATTTGACAAGGTAATTGAAAAATTCGAAAACTGCATTAAATGGCATTGAAGTAACTTCCTAATGACATATAAAAAATCGATTACATTTGACAGTTCTCTGGCAGCTATCCTCCACTTTTTATCTCTAAATGGCACCCCCTGTATATTGTCATTGAAAATTACGTGTCATTTTATAAGGAATGCAAGGATAGCACTCGGGATAGCATATACTTGCTATTTTTTTATTATTACCACAAAAATAGCAACATTTATGTATGAATTTCAACTAATAATATTTTATGCAAATCAAAACCTGAACTAAAAATCACAGCAAGTTTCAAATTCATTTTGACATGAGGAGTATCGGCTTTTTGAAACAAAACACATAAGCGGAGGCATTTTTTCATTTTCATAAGGTTAATTAAGTTACATGAAGGAAGTCACAAAATGTTAATAATTTCGTTATCGATAAGAAAATACCAAGTTCATGCTATTTATTGTATTCCAAATTGAATGACACCAAATTTCCAATGACAATATACAGGGGGTGCCATTTGAAAATAAAAAGTGGGGAGTAGCTGCCAGAAAACTGTCAAATGTAATCGATTTTTTTATATGTCATTAGGAAGGTACTTCAATGCCATTCAATGCAGTTTTTGAATTTTCCAATTATCTTGTCAAATAAGTGAGGTATTGCCTGTATACGATAACTTGGGACACCATAGGTACATAAAATTAATTTTCTATGGGTTTGAAGTGTTTGAACCCTCAGATTTAGAACAAAATAATGTTGATACTTATCACGATTTTATCATGAATTGATAAATCAAATCTTCATCAATTTAAGAGCAATTTTAGTAACATGGACATACAGTTATACCATTTCTTGTAGAACACATTGAAAAAGAATTAAGATGCAGATGGTATACAGAGAGTGTTTCAATTAACTCTGGAGATGATGAGATCTAATTGTGGAATTTGTGGAAGAAGTCTATCGTTTTTCTGACAGGAAAAGGCTCAAACTCAACAAGTATTTCTGTAGATTTCTTCTTCCTTCCACTCCTACAGAAATTGTAATAGCCATAGGGTCAAGTGAAAGGCACATTTTATGTTAGTAGTCTTTGAATAGTAATTTGGCAGTTTGTTATTGTTTCAAAATTAGTACCTATACTGGTTCAATAGTTATTTCTCAGGAAAGAATTGATACAATTTGAAGCAAGGGACACAGTTATGTAGAAGATCCAAAACCCATCAAAAGGTGTATCGCTTCACCCAACTTGTCATTAGAATTTTTTAGGATGGTAGTTGTCTAGGATAGAACGATGGAAATAAGTATATTATTGGGTATAAGTATGAGTATATTTCCAAACTTCTCGTTTTTAAGAAGATGGTCGATGTATTTTGTCATTTTCCAGAAAATTGTTGTCTGCTAGAGTTCTACTGTCGGTTGGGACACCCTGTATTTTTGATGTATTATTGCTAAATCATAATGCGTTAAGTTAATACCAGGTTATTATAGCATTACTACATATCACCGATATATTATATATTTCAATTATACTTTCTTCTGTTTAGAAAAATAATAATTTGTGAGTACTATGGAGTAACCGGAGGAGAGTTAAAGGGCTTTTATAAGAAACAGCTTTAGTTTCAATCCTCAGTTTTGTCTATCGAATTATAAGTTCATATTTATTCGATAGCCAATTTGTGATCCCTCCTCCCAGCAAACTTTCTGGATACGCTATAGTGTTTGCTAGTACCGAAATGAGATTGATGACTTATTGATCAGATGATTGATAAGATTGATTGATGAGAGGAAATGAGATTTTGTCTTAATTTTCACTGACGGAAACTTATATGAATAATGTTCAAAACAAAATCTACAATTTGTCATATTTCCTGAAATATGTTATCAGTTGGAATTTCTTATCTAAAATGGCATATATTCCTATATCGCGGTGTAGGTGAATCTACCTATATAAAATCTATCGAATCATGTGAAAATTTACTCAGTTTTTTTTTTTTTCAGGCAAAATGCATGCGACTTGGATATCGACTTTGATAATAATCATCGCTTTTCATTACACAGGTGAGAAAGGAATTACATTATTTTCTGAAAATTTTTCACTATCTGTCCATAATGTAGGTATATCTATACTTATATTTTATTTATATTCATATGTATTTTACAGAAACATCATTTATTATTATTTAACATGAAATATACCCCCAACATCCTTATTTTAACGGTAAAAATTTCCAAAATTTGGAAGACGATGTATGATATGAATATACAGATAGGAATTCAGATCAAAAAAGCAAAACGATCATTATTGTTTACAGTTTTGAAAAAATATCTAAAAATAATAGTTATTGACATATTTACACTGTGGTCCAGAATTGTCTCCCTATATTTCTATAGGGCCGCTATACAAAAAAAAAATTAAATCATTGATCAGATCGAGGTCAATAACCCAACCAAAACGCGTTTACCTTCGGCTATTCGGCGAGATCAGAAGCACCGCCGAAAGTATCAATGACTTCTGTAATATTGCCGGATGTTCAATAATAGTTGAGAGATGGACTATGAGAGCTTTCGAATACATTTCAAACAATATTTTGTTTGGAAAACACATAGGCAGGTTTCTTCTCTGCATGAGCAATATATTGAAATATTCTTTCAAATCCTCTTATATATAAGAGGGAAATTTTGGGATTCATACTGTCGAATTGTATTTTCATCATGGAATTGAAAATTTCTCTCATTTCCAAGAAGAGCAGAACTTAAAGTTTTGTCATTATCTTCTTCCGCTCGGATCCCGCGTATTTTACAATAAATTTTAAAATTTTGCGAAAAAAATGGAAGAGGGTTGTTTATGAAAAACAACCAATCTGATGATTTCGAATAAGTTAATTGAGACAAAACATTTTTTGAAAATGATCATACCTATGTGTCTATTATCGTTTCTTTCTTTCAAGATGCCAGCCCTGCAAGAGTGGTGTGCTACTTCAGTAACTGGGCGATATACAGACCAGGAATAGGAAAGTATGCAATTGAAGATATTCCGGTTGATCTCTGTACGCATATTGTGTATTCATTCATTGGAGTAGACGATAAAACTTGGAGTGTACTAGTCATCGATCCAGAAGTAAGAATAAGTTAGTTTTTCATCAAGGAAAATCCAAATCAATGTCATATATATATAAAGCTCAAGTATTCCATTCAACTTTTCTCCGTTTGTGGTATTACTTCCAACCCCTTGATTCCCAGGGCACCTACCCCTGAGATTTTAAATAGCAGCAACCCCTATTTATCTTGCAATTTTTCAGTTCCTCATGCAATTTCCAATGCTATGGAAGTCTTGACCTTCTCCACAGTTCCTATAATACTACAAATATATATTGAAATGATACTCATATTCTCATTCACATAAACGAGGAATTGAAACCCAAAAAATACTATACATTTTCAACTTCTTGATTATCCCCTACGTCCAAGATCCGACTCCAAGACTACGTCCATCTGTTATTCAGTGGAAATCAACCTGGTAAAAATATATTCACCTATTCATGAATATGTGTTAAGATTTACTTTACATATAACAGATAAACATAGTAATCTTATTGCATCGGATCTCGTACTATATTTACCTCTATTGATGATAATACTCTTAAACAAACCCGCATCAGTTATTCTAATTCAGTGATATCTTATATTCTTATCAATCTCTGAACAATCATATTACTTTATATGACTAGTAATTATGCCAAATCCAAATATTTTCTGACGAATTCCATAGTTACGAATCCATCATGGTTCATTTTTTCAGTTGGATGTTGACCAGAATGGCTTCAGAAACTTCACGAACATCAAGAAGACCCACCCAAATGTGAAATTAGAAATAGCCGTAGGGGGGTGGGCCGAAGGGGGATCCAAATATTCAGCCATGGTTGCAGACAAATCTAGAAGAGACACTTTCATCAGTAGCGTTGTTGGTGAGTAACAATACATATACACTTCCCCAAAAAATTAACGCATCGCCACCAAAAAGTATCCAAAAGTTTGAGATACCTCTTCGTCAAAACTACTTTTCCGATTTGGACGTTTTTTATATTGAATGGCAGGCAGTGCAAACTGTATTCGCATAATAACCTATATTTTATGAATACTGGGTGCAGCAATTATAACGTGTTTTCTTCATGAAATTTGTAATACCCTGTTGTTATATTCTAAAAAAATTGTTCGAAAATTGTTTTATCCGTCATTCGGTTGCCCCCTTACGAGCAACTCTCAGAAGTCTTCGAGAGTCTTGTGCGAGCAAGGAATGACGGGGGCCTTACCTTTTAACGTGTGATCCCAAACACTTTCTTGGGCCATTAGAAACATTTCTGCAGTCGCTGGTAATTGAACCCACGACCGGCAAGCGAATGCGGATTAGAATATTGACACTCTGTCTGCACGGCTACCTGGCCCCCTATAATTCATAAAGCTCCTGTACTTTACTATAACATTGTTTCCTATATCCATCGAAATTTGTTTATAATTTTTCAAATATTTGACAATAGTTAAATGAACGCTGTAGTTTTTGCGTATCACGATATGAATGATGTTCCCCTGCCCGAATTTGTTTAAAGTTTGTCATATATTTGACATAAGTCAAATGAACGCTGTAGTTTTTGCGTATTGAAGCCTATAAATCGTGAAGATTTTATTCATTACGCCCGAGCTGTGAGATATTATCTAGAGGTGGTCGGTATCGCTACCATGGCATGGCCAGCTCGGAGCCCGGATTTAAATCCCATTGAGAATCTCGGTGACATTCCTGGGACGCAATCACAAAAGAAATGGTACTTGAATACTTTGGCAGGCGCACGGCAGAGACTGAATCAAATTTGGACGTAAGGTATATCGTATTCAAGTTTTGACAAAAATGTATCTTAAACTTTAGATTACTTTTTATTGGTGCGTTGATTTCTTGAAGTAGATGAACATATCACACAAAAATCGTTGTTGATTTATCATTGAATAGAAAATCATAGATATATCCAATGCCTCTCATCAAACTTTTGGAAACAATAAAAGGGAATGGATAATTCCTAAACTAAACGACATCTATAACCGTCTATTTGAGAATAATCATTCACAGTGTTGTTGGTATATGCGATTTTAACTATTTTATTCTTCAGCTGTCTTTGAATCATTCTATGGCCTTTTCGTGTATTATTAGTCTACAAATTCAAATATACTTCCTCACTCAATAATATGTACATACATTCATTTTGTTATGGTTTATTTTATAATCTATATCGATTAACAATTCAAACTCTTATTTTGCAGACTTCATGATCCAGTATGACTTCGATGGTTTCGATTTGGACTGGGAATACCCCGGAGCAGCGGACAGAGGAGGCAGCTTTTCCGATAAGGACAAATTCTTTTATTTCGTCGAGGAGCTGAGAAGAGCATTCAACAAAGTTGGAAAGAACTGGGAAATCACAATGGCAGTGCCTGTAGCCAAGTTCCGTCTCCAGGAAGGATACCACGTCCCAGAGTTATGCGAGTAAGTTCATTTCTATTATCTCGGCAATAATTTGCTGTGAAAATAATCTTCCGTTCAAGTTCTTGTTTCCTCCGCAAGGATCATATCTAGCACCAACACTATTTCTACTCCATATCAACGATTTGTTGGAAGCAACTGCATGTCCAGTACACAGCTTCGCGGATGATAGTACCCTCCATACCGCCATCTCTTCCAGGGCTCCAATACCAGCCAGGCAAATCAGAAACGAGCGAGGATATGGACTTGGCAACAATTCTCGAATGGGGCTCCAATAACTTGGTAGATTTCAATGCAAACAAAACACAAGCATGCCTTTTCTCTAGAAAAGCCGATCTCACTATGCCCAACATAAGCTTGTCAGGAGTAACCATACTCTTGAGGACATCCATTTCGATGCTTGGTATTACTATCAGCAATAACCTTTCTTGGGGAAATCACGTGAGATCAATCGCTAAAAGTGCATCCCAATAACTTGGTTTTCTGTCTCGGGCCAGGAGCTATTTCACTTCCAGTCAGCTGCTTATGATCTATACGGCATAGATCCAACCTGTCCTGGAATACTGTTCCCATATTTGGAGTGCAGCACCCAAACATACCCTGAAACTGTTGGATTCTGTCCAAAATAGGGCAATTCGTCTCGTGGGTGATGCCTCGCTCACAAACTCACTCACTTCTCTGGAACACCGTAAGAAAGTTGGCAATCTGGCTCTATTTTATAGATATTTTCTAGAATATCAACAATTGTACCTTCCTTCGCTTCGCACCCCTTCGTGGTCACTTTGGAGACCTGCAGAACATCTCTGTCCAAAGACTCGTTCATCCAACGAACAGCGATTCTCTGGAACACATTGCCAAAGGAGGTGTTCCCCGAGGCATATAACCTCCAGAAATTTAAGAAGAACACCAATTCCTACTCTATTTCCCTTGGTTCTCACGATGTTCTCTGAACATTACAGGATATCCGTTTTCGTGGGAACCAGAACAAAAAAAATGTTCAATAAAAACATGTTTGTCCTGTTTTCAGCCTACTGGATGCAATTCACGTTATGTCATACGATTTGAGAGGTAACTGGGCAGGTTTTGCAGATTCTCACAGCCCATTGTACAAAAGACCGCATGACCAATGGGCCTATGAAAAACTAAATGTGGTAAGTCATCTCTCAATCTTGACCAACATTTTTATCTTTGTCTCGAAGGCATGTACTTATGACTCAATATTTGTCAAGATTTATTGTCACTTGATGGCATATTTCTTTGTTTCTAGAATGATGGTCTTCAGTTATGGGTTGACTTTGGTTGTTCCCCAAAGAAACTGGTTGTAGGAATTCCTTTCTATGGAAGAACATTCACTTTAAGCGCTGGTAATAATAATTATAATCCTGGAACTTACATAAATAAAGAAGCCGGTGGTGGTGCTCCAGGACCTTACACGAATGCAACTGGGTTCTTAGCATACTACGAGGTAAATATCATCACATAGTGTGGCTTTCACTCTCAATCATTTTGAATTGGAATACTTTTTCTACATTCTTGCCATGAACTTTTCGAACTAAAATATTTTTTTTTCTGATTTTGACATGTGATTTTACACTTTTAAAAACTAACGGAAATCCCATTGTCACACAAAATGACGCTTTTCCAAACTGGTTACGTAAATATTTATTTCATGCATATTTTGAAGCAACAGAGGAGGAAATTCTGTCAGTTCGTCGTATTAGCAATATCACTAGAAACGACTTTTACTATTTTTTGATTTCATTCGATATTTCTACATATCTTTCGATTAAGAAAATGATTCGTCACCTGACTTCCTGTTCCCCTTTGAAGTTGGTATATATGGAAGAATATCAACATATTTCATTCTATCCTAGCAAGATCTGAGCCCAACAAAAAATAAACGAATGTCACAGAAGCAGGAAGATTCTATAAGAAGCACCATGTTCATCTCAACTTAATCTAAAAAATACATATACATAAATACATATACATCTTTTTCTTTTAATATAGAAATATATTCTTTGAGAATCTCTTTGAGTACCACTACATATTCATTCATTACATGTATTACCATTATTATTGCTATTTCAGATATGCCCAGAAATTATGAACAAAGATTCTGGTTGGACCAAAAAATGGGATGAGGAAGGAAAAGTTCCATATGCTTACAAAGGTAAGGATATATTTTCAGAATACGACTATGAGTCAATCCATATATTGGGTGTCCCAGATCTTTTCTTACACCCATTATCTCAGTTATGCTGCCCAGAAAAAAATTTTCAAAAAACACACTTTTGTCAAACCCAAATGACTTTGAAGTCACTATGTCAAAGTCAACTTCTGTCAAACATGTGTCGAACTACCCCTGGAAAGCCACACCCCCAACTTCAATTATTCAAGTTACACCATATGTTTTTGTCGGTTTATGAAGCGCAATCAATCCTTACGTCGAAGATGTATCACACTGATGTCCAATTGACAGAATATTAATTTGGATTAAACAGGCGTTGTTTTAGTTGGATTTACCCAGAGATGTACCTACACTGCTACACAAGCAAGCTGTCTAGAAAACATAACAAAACAAATGATCTACACCTGATACTATTTCCTTAGGATTTTCTCATTTTGGTAGTATTACGTTTGTCATAATATCAAGTGCAATACATCGTTGAAGTTAGAATTGATTGCACTTCACAAATCAACAAAAAAATTCATAGGATGTTGGGGGTGGCTTTCTTGGGGTAGTTTGACAGAAGTTGACACGATGGCTTCGAAGTCATATGGGTTTGAAAGTAGTGTAATTTTTACAATTGTATTTTATAACAACTATATAAATGAATTCTAGCCCATGAAATATACTGTCATATATCCGAATTGGCAAGATATTTGAACAAAAGGAGTGAATAAATTGTACTGAACCCTTTCCCCATTAATAACTCTGCCATAACAGCAGTAACGCACCAAGAATAGTTCTAGAAAATCGATTTCTAATATTTTATTTTTCAAATAAATTTTTCGATATCTTCAACGAAAAGCAAAGTAATAGTGAATTTGCCCTTTCCGCGGGATCACAGTAGGTTGAGTTTAACCTTTTCAGCCCCACTTTTTCCTTATGCACAAACTTGATATTGTTGAATGGATCATATATGTCCCACTGATAACCTATGAAATAGAAGTTCAAATCTTGTCAAATCTTCATTCAATATAATTTTGTAGTTCCATGTATGAAATGGCGTGAAACAGTTTCGGCAAAGTAGTTACTTGACACATTCTGCACAGACGATTGATCATCGCCGCTGTCGATTTCATTATCTTGTTGACCATCTGAATCAGAGGATGATGTCTTTGTCTCGTACTCTTTGTCGAGGTTGTCATCGGTTTCAAAGGGATCCAACTCATATTCAGAACCAAACTATCATAAATGCATATGGATTATCACCTACTCATACGCCATCTTAGGAGCAGCACTATTAATAATTTTAATGTCTTCGGTCGAGGCTACGAAAATCAAAATTCATAACTCGTTTCATAACTGAAAATTCTCTGTTCTGCCGGAGATCGGGCTAGCAACATTTCGATGTTCTGATTATCGTTGACTCATTATTATAATATATATACAGGAACCCAATGGGTGGGCTATGAAGATCCAGAATCGGTTCAGATCAAAATGGATTGGATCAAGTCCAAAGGATATGCCGGTGCCATGACTTGGGCAATCGATATGGACGATTTCCACGGACTGTGTGGGCCAGAAAATGCCCTAATGCACATCCTGAATGCCAATATGAAGTCCTACGATGTTCCAGAGCCAACCTTCTCAACAACACCAAGGGTGAGTTTTCTATAACAAAATATGTCAATGAACAAATTTTATTATCAGGTACCTACCTACTAGCTAGGTACTTTATAAATCTTGACGCACTCTAGACCTAGAAAACTCAAACTTAGTACAATAAGGCAGGGATGATAGTACCCTCCATACCGCCTTCTCTTCTAGGGCTTCAATACCAGCCAAGCAAATCAGAAACGAACGAGGAAGAAATCATGACAACATAAATATGGACTTGGCAACAATTCTCGAATGGGGATCCAATGATTTGGTAGATTTCAATGCAAACAAAACACAAGCATGCCTTTTCTCTAGAAAAACTGATCTCACTGTGCCCAACATAAGTTTGTCAGGAGTAACCATACCTTCGAAGACATCCATTTCGATGCTTGGTATTACTATCAGCAATTACCTTCCTTGGGAAAATCACGTGACATCAATTGCTGAAAGTGCATCCCAAAAACTTGGTTTTCTACTCGGGGCCAGGAGCTATTTCACTTTCAGTCAGCTGCTTATGATCTATAAGGCACAGATCCGACCTGTCCTGGAATACTGTTCTCATATTTGGAGTGCAGCACCCAAACATACCCTGAAACTGTTGGATTCTGTCCAAAAAAGGGCAATTCGTCTCGGGGGTGATGCCTCGCTCACAAACTCATCACTTCTCTGGAACACCGTAGAAAAGTTAGCGATCTGGCTCTATCTTATAAATATTTTCATGTACGATGCTCTTCTGAAATATCAACAATTGTTCCTCCCTTGGCAGTCCCCGCGAGATTAACCCGTCGAGTTGAGGCTTCGCACCCCTTCGTGGTCACTTTGGAGACCTGCAGAATATCTCTTCCCAAAGACTCGTTCATTCAACGAACAGGGACGCTCTGGAACACATTGCCAAGGGAGGTGTTCCCCGAGGCATATAACCTCCAGAAATTCAAGAAGAACACCAATTCTCACCTTGGTTCTCTGAACATTACAAGATATCCCTTTTCGTGGGAACCAGAACATAAAAAAAGGAACATTTCAAATCATATCCGGATTTTTTTATGATTTCAGCCTGAATGGGCCAGACCTCCAAGCACTCCACCATCGGACGGTTCCCAACCTGTTCCAACCACTCCAAGACCAAGACCATCTTCTGCACCTTCAACTGTACGAACTTCCACAACAAGTAGACCAACTGCTTCTTCTGTTAATCCAACTCCAGAATCGTCGACGAGCTCGAATGAGATAGACAATACTGTGGAATGTAAAGGAGACTTCATGCCCCATGAAGATTGCGATAAGGTAAGAAAATAAAGATTATTCGAGAGATTCATACCTTTCAGTAAATCACGATCGATGTTTTCATAATGAAGCATACCTGAACGGGTTTTTTTCAACTCCACCAAACAGAGGCGGACTGGGGGGCCGGGCGGTCGGGCGATCGCCCGATGGGCCGGGGCCCTTTCGGGCCGGTAAAAATAGTGAATGAATGAAGAAATATATGTCTTCTCGACAGCTTTCTGCAGTATGAGACCATTATAACTGCAATTTTGTCGAGTTTTGTTTAGAAAAATCTTCAATTTCACCACTCCTCTTTCGAGCTAACTACAAATGTCAGGTACCAATGGATATTTTAGATGCATACCAAATGGTCGGAAAAACCATGAAATCCTTGAAAAAATATCGCGAGAATATGATGTAATTTTGAATGATACACATAAATTCTTTGATAAAGCAAATGAACTATTTATTTTCAAAGAACACGAAATAAAAAAAGCTTCTTCGATGAGAAAGCTGATCATGAAGCACATCAAAATCCCATCAAGAAATTCAAAATTGAGACTTTTAATGTAACCATTGATAATATTATCACCGCACTCTAATCCAGATTCAAGAAACCTAAAGGATTGTTTCACGATTTTGAACCATTTGATCCGTCAATATTCACTGATGATCAAATATAATATCAACTGAAAACTCGATAAGGAAGGTTCATGAAAATATCACAAATTATCATCCTGCTAATGAAAAAGACCTTGATAGATTTTACTCCGCAGTGGGAAAGACTGTCAAAAGATATGAATGATAGTGGAACTTATGCCTTCGGTGTAAAAGAGGAATTTATTTCATCAAAACAGCAGTTTTGCAAGACATCAGTTTTGCAAGACATTTTCACTTTGTTGCTACCATGTTTTGCACAAATACAATTCATGTGTCGAGGATTCTCACCCTTTCAGTATCGCAGGAATCGTGTGAAAGATCTTTCTCAAAATCGGAATTTATCTTGATTAGGTTAAGAAATTATCTGAGCCAAGAACATTTGGGGACTTTCATGATGATGAGCTGCGAAAATAGATTTTAGGAAGCGACGATATCATTTTAGATTTTGTTGAAAAATGTGGATCCATGGTTCACTCGTTTTTTAATTTCAATTTCTAATGCGGCTTATGTTTTATTTTGGTTAGATACTTTTCCTAGTATTTTTGTAGCTTTAATATTATTTACAAAATGCCTTGTGTTCCTCTATACGATAGAAATATCCTTTATTCAATTTATTTTAATTTTTCATTTTTACAATGTTATTTATGTTATTCATTTCATTTTTCTTCAGCATATTTGATGTTTTATCGACTAATTTTTTCGCTTAAGTTTGATTAGAATCAAAATTATTCGTAATATTTTTTTTGGGTTTTTGTCTATGTCACTCAAATATGTAATGAAATTATATGAATAGCTATATCAGCTTTGAAATTTTCTACGGAGATGGGCCGGTAGGATTCAATTCGCCCGGGCCGATTCAGAGGTCCAGTCCGCCTCTGCCACCAAATAGTAGGTATACTTACCATATATGAAGGAGAAAATTGTAACTGATATTCCACTATTCATGTTAATTTTAATTTCAGTTCTAAAATCCATTCATATATCGTTGTATTCTTTTTCAGTATTACCGATGTGTCCATGGTAAACCAATGGTATTTAGTTGCAAACCAGAAACTGTCTTCCATACAGTCACGAATGTTTGTGATTGGCCAGCGAATGCTGATAGAGAAAAATGTAAGCCCTCTAAAAAAATCCATTAGGACTAATTTTATTGTAGAAAATAGAAAGTTAGAATGAATAAATGCTGATTTTTTTTATATGTCTTCGTTTTATTGATCATGATATTCAAAAAAATAGATAACCTATGAGTATTATGGACCATTATCTCATTTACTCTCTATGGAAGGTTCAATGTGGTACGAACTGAAAATTTCTTTGTTATGGGTATAAGTGCAGACGTAAAATTCAAATTGGATGTAGGCGATTAGGTAATTAGTTCTTGGACGTAGTAGATCTGCTGTTTTAATGCTTCGATGAGCGATTCGATTATACCAAATGAAATTACCTTCAATATTGTATTCATCACCCTATGAGTTTTTTCATTTAACAGGGTATATGTGTCTCGCGAAAAGAAGTTGTTTGGCCAAAAATTGTTTACATAAAAAGTGTAAGATAACAGATTAGAGGCATTTCAAGCTTTTGTTCATTGAAAATCTAATTTTTTTAATCTAACATTAATAAGAGAAAATTCAATATGATAAAACAATCACTTCAAAACGAAAATTAATAGGTTGAAAATGTGAAAAGAGGTATTTGATTAATTTATCTGATGAAATATTGCAACTGTAGGGTATCTAATGCTGGACTTATAACGGCTTTCTTGTTTTTTTTTCGTGCAAATGTAAACAAAATGATTCATAGTTGGAGTCTTCTTCAAACCTTCAAATACCTGTACCTCCGTCATCTTAAAAATGTTATAAACAACTCATTTCCTGTTCAAAAGAATACCTCACTTTCAGATTCACCCTGTATATCATCTCTTTAATCTCTTTATATACCTAACAAATTTCTATCACCAATCTGAAACACGTCATTTTATTTCATTTATACATACAGTGCTAAATAATAAAGTCTACATCGTTAGACATTAAAAAGGTACCATTGTGAACCTATAGCAGATTTCGAATAATTTTACTAATCAACGTGCAATCACAACATTTCCTTGGCTGAATTCCTAGCCTCGCTACGCTCGGCTATGAACTATCAGCCGCGGCAGTCAATCTACTACTTTTCTGCCTAGTAAAACAAATAACTATTGTTTTACTAGGCAGGAAAGTACACGCGGCTGGCGTTTCATCGCCTAGGCGTAGTCGAGGCTATAGGAGACCAGCCAAGGCATTACATCTTCTAGTCTGCCATGTGAAACATATAATTTTTTCTCCAAATTCTTTTCAATTTGACGCAAAGTCCAAATAATCCATTATTTTTTTTTTCACCCAAAGTCATTGACAATTTTGATTACCAATTTGATTCAAATTACTTGGAACGTTGCACAGCAACAAACTTTTTTTGCCTAGGCAGTGAAAGTACACCTTTTCTGCCTGTTAAGTGATTAAAAATCTACTTTCAATGTAATTTGGAGCAAAATAACTATTACTACCAAGGTTCATAGGTGGTTATGTCTTTATTGGCTAGTGGTTCATAATATAACGAAAACTACCTTGGTAGTAAAAATACACTTTACGCCTTCAAAAAGAGTAAATAATGATAGTTTCTATAGCTAGTGGCGAAAAATAACTATATATTATACTGGCTGCGCCACTTACATAATTATCGACATGGAACAAAATCATATTAAATCTCAGATCACAAAAATAAACATTTCTTATCGCCACTGCAGATTTGCTAGATTAAACGATCTAATCATTAATGTTAATGCATTAATACTTAGTGTAGGTGTATTTTTGCTTATCTCTGAAATTAGCGAATTTTTTTCTCATTCGTATGTAGCAATAAAGGAACTGAATAGATTACAAAGGTATTGTAAATTCAGTTTGGAGTTTTGAAATATTCGTTCTTGTGAGTCCGCGTAGGCATATATGTATAGATGATAGATAAGTGTTCAATTCTATATGTATCTACTTTCTTTATTTTAAGCTTAAATACCCAATCCTCGATTTTTCCTTGAAAAGAACAATCAATATCCTTGTACTTTTTAAATCATAACATCATCTTACATAAACACAGTAATCTCAAGTAGGTACTGAGTAGAAGATATCCGATTTGTTTATAATATAAGTATCTAATCAATAAACTAAAGATTAGCAATAGCGAATTCTCAAATAGGTAATCGAAGTAAGTACATTCCTACATCTGATTGTCAGTGGGTAAACATGAGCGAAATGCTAGAGTACGACAGTATTTTGGACCAGTACAAAGAAGTTGTTTTTGACGAGTTCTCAGATAGTTCCGAGGAAGAATACAAGGGAAACAGCAAACATTCAAATGCAGTACTAGTACTGAGGAAGAGAAGTTTCAGGTAAAATCATTAGTAAGATTATTCTCCCACCGCAAACAAAATATGATTTTTTTTTTCATTTCAGTAAATCTAGATCATCTTATATCAGACAATTCAACCTAGCAAGGATCATCAGTAAATCTGGAAGACTTAATACATTTCTTACCCAACTACATCATAAAAATATATCCTACATCAGAGATTTAGGGAACACTTTGTTAACAATTCGGTGGAGATGGATCATTATGACACTATTTCTTGTCAATTTCATCTGTTTCATTATCTTTGGATGTTTGTGGTGGTTTTTGGCGTATGTAAATGGCGATTTTCATGCTAACGCCACTGTTAAATGTGTAGAAAATACTCAAACTCTAACAGGTGAGAAACAGGATAGTTAAGTCTTAATTATCTTGTAAGACTTGAGAGGATACAGGATACATAGGTGGGTACTTTGATAATTTTGTACGAAAATTTTTCTTCGTACTTAGGATGCATTTTGTATACAGGGTGTTTCAAAAAAACCTGACCCCCTAACTAGGGTAGGTAGAACACTGCAAAATAAGTTGGGTTTACTTAGTAAGAAAATTTCGTAACGGCATCCGTTATCAAGATACAAGGTGTTGAAAAAATATTTTTTTTACACATTTTTCAAGATTTTGACGAAACTATACTGGCAACATTGTGATGAAATTTTGTATGGATGTTTCTTAGAATCTGACACATCGCATGCATTCGTTTTTATATCTGACTCTCATAGAGGGCACTAGTTACACGGTTCGTACCAAGTAGTTTTGAACATAACTTTTTTGAGGTTAGATTTTTCGATCCAAATTTGATGTGAACTTAGACATCATTCAATTTAAAACCAAAAAGGTACTCTTGGTAAAACTCGATACTGTGTACCGTTTTCAGAATATTTCGATTTGAAAATGATGAAGTGATAACTGTTGCTGGTATAAAGCTATGTATTATAGTGAGTATTATGAAAAATTATCACCTATTTATTGAAAACCGAAAACAAGAATACATTTCTGATGCTGAATTTATTGATTTAACAATGAATCACAAGAATAACATGGAAACAGATTTGACTAAGAACATGGATTACACTGTTTTGTTGTATCTTGAGCAGAAAGTTTATGCTACATAGGTAAATTCACGTCAAGAGTTGTAAGACATAATTGTACATCACTCAAATGACCTAACAGCTGATTCTCAACTGTTTAAAAGAATAATACATTCCCAAGAAAAGAAATTAGAATCGTGTATTCGTCGAAACGTAGGACATTTTGAACACTTACACTAACTGATTCAATATTTCATGTTTCTAGTCAAATATCTCTTAATTTACAACTTATGACTCTTTGTTCCATCAATAACTCCAGTGCAAGAATGATTTTATTGTTTTTGAATCTGAATAAATAGGTAATTGAACTCAATAATCATATTTGGATTGAAAAATCTAACCTCAAAAAAGTTATGATCTAAACTACTCGGTACGAAACGTGTAACTCGCGCCCTCTATGAAAGTCAGATATAAAAACAAATTCATGCGATGTGTCAGATTTCAAGGAACACTCATACAAAATTTCATCACAATGTTGCCAGAGTAGTTTCGACATAATCGTGAAAAATATGTACAAAAATAATTTTTTCAACACCTTGTATCTTGAAAACAGATGCCGTTACGACATTTTTTCACTGAGCAAACCCAACTTATTTTGCAGTGTTCTACCTACCCTAGCGAGGGGGTCAGATTTTTTTGAAACACCCTGTACATGTATAATATATGAGAAACCAGCGTGAGAAACTTAAGTTATGGTGATATAAACTTACGTTAATTAGTAATTCAACCCACTAGATATTTTTTTATACTATTTCATTTGGAAATTGATAGGTAGCACTTCCAAGCGCAAAAATATTATACAGGGTGCTATCGAAATAAATACATTGATTTCCAACCCTAAGATAGCTCAAAATGAACTATCGAACGGCACGATTGAAAAAAAATATATAGCGATCAGAATAAGATTATTTGGGGCAGGACCCCTGTAATTTCCACCAGAAATTCTACTCAGAGCTATAGTCGCTCGTCGCTCATAGAAGCCATATAAAATAGAGACGAATTTAATATAGTGACTGAAGGTGAGCACATTATATAAGTTTGGGAGTTGGATCTTATCACTATAATATTCAGAAGAGTATATTTCAAGAAAACATGAAAATCTGTAACGAAGTAATCGAGATATTATAAAATTCGTTAAGCAAGGAAAGTAACACAGCAAATAAAAGTACGTTAAAAACGGTCAAAAATCACTGAAATAAGGAATTGGAATACCAAAAGCAATACTAAAAAAGCAAATACCTGCTTCTATAGTCCCCGTATCATAATAGTATTTAGGGAATCTTCAGATAACCGGCATTAGTGAAATGGTGACATATGAATATAAATAAACATTTCAAAGTTGACTCACCCATGCACAAGCATTTAATCATGCACAGGATGTCTCTGAAAGGTCTGTACAAAATGTAAGCACATTTTTCTGAGGTCATAATAGGCCTATTTAAAGCAACTCACCTCAGACCGAAATTGTTCCGTTTCCGAGATACAGGGTGGTGGAGATAAAAAATAGAAATCGACAAGTACACTTCAAAACAGTATTTTGAAAAATCCATTAATGTACTGCTAATTCACTGACCAAATTACATCCACGAAGATAACAGCAAACATTCTTTATTCAAAATAATGTGAATATTCCGGTGCTGCATGGAACACTAAAAATCGAAATATCTCGAAATCGACTTACTTTAGCGGCAGGGCCGATCCTAGCGGGTGTGCAGCGCGTGCCCCGCACGCGGGCGGCCAAAACAAGGGGCGGCCGCAGGCCGCATATTGTCCTATCAAACAAAATTATTTGAAACTCATAAGTCGAATGAATATGCTGCATTTTGAATAAATAAAATGATAGTAAATAGTGTGTTGGTCCATTGTCAATCAATGTCTACTTTTTATACACATTCTTATATCTTCCCAAATTTTAAATTTCTATTTGAAACAATAACCAAGGGGCATATTTTTCAGACGCCTAAGGATGTTTTGTTCCATCACTGTGCGGTAGCTTATTTATGCATTTCTACTACTTACTAAGAGACTATGAGAGAAAATCCCAAAAAATCTGGAGAACATCCACTTGGTTAAACTACAGACACCATTTAAAATACTTTTCACTTGCTCTTCTTATTGTTCTTATTTTCAGATTGATTCCAGATCATTTTATATCAATTACCTACAATAAACTGTAATATACTAATGTGATGAATTTGAATCCCAACAAAAATTTCGCCTGCGGCGCATTTTTTGCCGTAGGAAAATTTTGTCTGAGTTTCTTGGCCGCTCCCGGTATGCACTGAAATGGAGTTATTACCTGAAAGCATTTGACCTTGAACTCAGAAAAAATTCGCCTGCGGCGCATGAAGATTTTGTCTACATTTTTTTTCTGTGTTTTACTTCTTATCCTTGTAGGTACAAGTAGTTGAAGTTATGAAGTCATCAGGTATTATAGTTAAAAAATATGAAAAATTCTCTAGAGGGGCGGCACATTAGGTTTATGCACGCGGGCGACCGACACCCTAGGATCGGCCCTGTTTAGCGGATTATCACAAGTGTATCTTTTTGCTCAAAAATGTTCAGATAATTATTTCCTCAATAAATAAAGTGAGAAACTACACTGAGAAAAAGCTATGGCTATTCTAAACCATGAGAAGTCCATTGGTAAGCGTCCTCTAATGGCCACAGTAATAGGTGACGTGTTCGCATCGCAAAAAAAAATAACAATTTTTGAAGTAATACGTTAAAATATGTTCATAAATAATTCTAAGAAATTCGATTTTTGTTCTTCAACTTCACCACCCTGTATATCGTAAACAGAGTAATTTCTGACTGAGGTAAGTTGCTTCAAATCGACTAATACAGACCTTTCAGGGACATCCAGTATAAGCTAGGAAGCTCAACGGAAATAGGTACTATAGAAATTGACAATGGAATGGCCAAAAATGGAGTAAAAACTTGAAGATAAGAAGTCTGTCCGTTACTTCCACACCCCTAAACTGAACATGGTTCATCAAAAGGAACTGATTCAGTAAGATATTCGAAACCTAAGTTCATAATGTGAGTGTCATCGAATTTCCATGTGGACGGCTACGATTTCAATGTCCATGAAGTTTCGTGTACTCGATTTTTTCAAATAATTCTTATAGTTCAATTTTAGAAATAAAATTTCTCGTAAATGTTAAGACTTTGAGGAATACCTAATCGAATACTGATAGTCTGAAGCGAGGTCTAGAGCAGATTGCTGTGTTCAATATATGTATTTATATCGATAACACCCTGTATGTAGGTACCTCATTTCGACACACACAGTTGCTATCCCGTGATAGTTCAGTCTGCAATCGAAATAGTAAGAATTGATTCGATACCGTTCTGGTCGTGTGTTTTATTATTAACTCCATACGATACCTTCGGAGCATCCAAAAATAATATCTCTATCCTAACACATTTCATTCAGCCAGTTGTGATACATCTGGACCTGTCGTTTTTTGAATGAAGGGAATCCAATCTAGTTTATTTTTATATAGTAGTATTTAAGAGCATGCTGTCATACCAGAACAGTTATACAGGGTGGCATAGAAATAAGTGCAAATATTCCAAACACTGAGAAAGCTCGAGGTGTACTATCGAGTGCTCTAGTAATCACCAGAAAATTGAATAATTCTGCCCTACCGATCTGTAATTGGTTATAATTTTCTACCATAATTTCGATTGGTCAATCATCTCAATATTTCACAGCTTTATTTTCCATAATGTCCCGAAGGTGGGACCTTAGTATTTTTCCTGACAATTTTGATAACTTATCAACATATTTTCAAGATGGTTCCTCTCAAAAGTTTCTGATGACTATACAGTGTGTCCCACTTACCATGCTCACCATGGGTATCTTTTTAACGGTGAGAGAAACGAGGTCGGTTAAATGACACCAAATGTGGAGTTTGTCAAGGCCAACTATAATGTGAAAAAAATATTTTGATAAAATCTATTCGTTTTTGTTTTATACGCAAAAAACAGATTTTGATCATTTTCATGTCTCCTCCGTAACTTCTTCATTTATGAAAATATTCAAATAGGAATTTCACATTCTCATGGCAGTTTTTCGAAGTGATTTCGAAAAAAATATGAAATTTATACCAACTCTTCTAGAATTTGAGATATCAGCACCAACTTCAATTTTTCAAATGTAGGTCATAGCTCACTATGACTTATATAGTTACGAATAACTTTTTTTTCTATTTCAGATGATGTGTTGCAGTCATAGTTTTGTGTTGATAACGATGGAGTTATCGACATTTATACAAAAACAAAAAATTATTTGGAAGCCGCCATCTTGAATTTATAAATTTTAACTAAAAAATCATAATCTCCGACTTCAAAAACCCCCACTTACCAATTTTGAATGGAATCGGACCAAATCTTGTCCGCCATCTTGGAGCAGCCATTTCTTTTAATTTCAACAAAAATTCCATGACTCCGATCAACTTGAAATTTGGCAGGTGTCCATAATTTCGGTGACAATACATTATGGAATATTTGTTGAAATTAAAAAAAATGGCTGCTCCAAGATGGCGGACAAGATTTGGTCCGATTCCATTCAAAATTGGTAAGTGGGGGTTTTTGATGTCGGAGATTATGATTTTTTTGTTGAAATTCATGAATTCAAGATGGCGGCGTCCAAATAATTTTTTGTTTTTGTATAGATGACGATAACTCCGTTGTTATCAACACAAAACTATTACTGCGACATATCATCTGTAAGAGAAAAAAAAGTTATTTGCAACTAAGTCATAGTGAGCTTTGACCTACATTTGAAAAACTAAGTTGGTGCTGATATCTCAAATTCTAGAAGAGGTGGTAAAAATTTCATATATTTTTCGAAATCACTTTGAAAAACTGCCATGAGAATGTGACATTCCTATTTGAATATTTTCATAAATAAAGAAGTTACGGAGGAGACATGAAAATGATCAAAATCTCTTTTTTGCGTATAAAACAAAAACGAATAGATTTTATCAAAATATTTTTTCACATTATAGTTTTCCTTGAAAAACTCCACATTTGGTGTCATTTAACCGACCTCGTATCTCTCACCGTTAAAAAGATACCCATGGTGAGCATGGTAAGTGGGAAACAGTGTATAGTTGAAAATCCATCTATGGTAATTATCTTCTACGACCCGATTACTCATCACACATACATATAATCTTCAAGTGAAGTTAAAAAAAATTCCAACAGCTACCTTCTCTCCCTATCCTCCCTAGGTACGCATGAACATTATAGGGATTCCCTTTCGTGCGCACCAAGTGATCAAAAAAATACAAGGTTGCACAGACTAAGTGGTATGTTCTCGACTCAGATAATATTTATGTCTATCGATTCGAAACATATTCTTGGTCCCAATATCAAATTTCGAAGAGCCGTACCTAATTTATATTTCCGTTATGGACACGACCACTTGCTTGAAATATAAACCAGATTGCATATGCCTTTTGAATTCCCATCACATGAGTATGGTATCTTTTTCTACAGCCATAACACAAGATTGCCCTTGTTTTACTGTGTTCGATACATCAATGAGGTACTTTGTATGTCATCAATTTTATTTCCGTATTCCGTGTAATTATTTTTAAAAAACTCATCGCCCATGGAATGTCAAATTTCAAGCAATGACAGCCAAGGGCGTCGTCAGAGAGGGGCAGGGTGGGGCAGCTGCCCCCCCCCAAGGTTTACGCTCACCAGTCACCCTGCTATCATTGAAACGACTATTTCATTCATCACATAATCTGACCAATCACAAGCCAGAGAAAACGTGTGCTTATCGCGAAAACTAGATGTTTTCAACGATGTAACCATGGGTAGCGAAGCGAAGTCTGTCAATTTGGCAAAAAATAATGACTGTACTTGTCAGAATGAATCATTCATTCAAAATAAATGCTTCTTTGCTTCGTGAACGTGAAATAGTCTCCACTCTGTTCTGAATATATTCTCATAATTCTTCATTTCCTTGTCAAATCTATTGTGTTGCCGTACAGCCCTACCTTTCGTCCTGACTCGTGATGTTGCTCAGCAACACAATTTCGTGAACAATGAGGCGACAGAATTATCTTGAATATTAAGAATATCGTGATATTACTTATGATAACGCTCACTTTGAGCAAAGAACTTCCGGAAGTATATTTTTCTCCTGAAGTTGAGAAGGCTCTGAAGATCCTTGTTGCCTTTACCTTGTAAGATTTGTACAGATGAAAGGTTATTTAGTAGCCTTAGGAGAATCAAAACCTGGTTGAGGAGCACCATGTATGATGCTCGACTCAATGGCCTCGCAATGATGAGTATACACAGGCAACATATTTTCAAAAACTTGAACGATTTCGTCAAAAAGTGACCAACGAATTCCCAAAGAACCCTAGAAGATTATTTTTCAACTGATTTACTGTATAGATTTTTTTCTGTTTTTTGATTTACTCATAAAACTCTTTCTATTTGATTTTTCTCTTCAGTTTTTTTATGGTGCCCCCCCCTATTTTTTCCGCTGGCGACGCCCTTGATGACAGCTCTGTCTAATAGATGAGCATTACTTTATAGGAAATCAGATGGCCACAAGACGAAGAAATCGAAAATGCCGCTGTTATCTATTATAGCCGTAGCAAAATTATAGTGTATAACTTGCACGGAATGTTAATTTCCTACTCGAATGATCGCAGCAATCGCCTAAACTTCATTCTCGTAGGAAATCATTTTCATTCCGTGCTCGTTAAACAATATACTATTTCGTAACCTAAATGAAAACAGAATCAATTACAGGGTGATTCTGTTACACAGTCATAATAAAGGCTGGGCCATTATTCCCTTGTTCCAGGTTACATTCTCCTCAGCGTAGAAACAATTACCACAATAGGTTACGGATATCGTGTTCCTACCGAGCATTGTCAAGGAACTTGGGTATTGTTGACGTTACAAGCCATGCTGAGTGTAGCCATACAAGGAGCTTTAGTTAGTAGCGTGTATGTGAAAATTTCGAAACCGTTCACCAATATTTCTTCATCTATATTCAGTAAGAAAGCTGTGGTGCGTGAACATAAAAAAATCAATTGTGAAGATGGTTCACCATGTATAGTGCTGCCCCAATAATTCGTAACGACGACTTCTGTGAAAATAATTTTAAAAATTCGTTTCAATTGTGGTACGAGATAGTCAGGTGTATCTCTGAATATTTTTATTTCGGTTTAGACAAAAACATTTGAATTCGACCAATTATTTGGGCAGTACGTACGGGTGTCCCAACACTCCCAACTCTATATATGTATATATATATATATATATATACACACATTTTCTCTGAAACGGGTGACACTATTATCCGCTCTGTACGAACTGGCTCAAATGAGAAAGTGTGTTGTACAAAAATAATCCCTGCTCAGACTGCACAAAGTGGTTCTAAGGAAGTTCTGAGAATATTCCCGTGAAACATTTCTAATATTCTCAGAATGAACATATCTGCCAAAAATACCTAGAATATTGGATCAATACATTCTATGATCATTCCTCAATAACATATGGAATGTTCTATGAATCTTCTCGTAAAACATTCTATAAACATTCTGAACATCCTAACGGATCTCGTTCATTTTGGTCCTTCGCCAAAGCTGTAGGAAGAAACTTCACTTCCAGCTCGTTTCCTCCTCTAACCAAGGAAGATGGAACACTAGCCACAACTGCCCAGGAGAAAGCAACATTTTTGCGCATTTATCTGCTGGAAATTCCACTCTGGATTCATCAGAAAAACAACCTCCAAACTTAGCGCCAATTGACAGTCATATGCCCGAGCTCACCTTTCGCCAACGTACTATGAGGAAGATTTTATTGGGTCTCAACACCAACAAAGCTTGTGGCTCCGACAGAATCCCACCGATTGTACTCAAGAAATGTGCAACTACTCTCACAAATTGGGGATATCCCCGTCCAACTGGAAAATTGCAAGAGTACAGCCAGTTCCTGAAAAAGGCAAAAAGACCCTACCTAGCAACTACAGACCGATGGCACTGCTATCTATTATTTCAAAGATCATGCAGAAAGCTATCAACATCGAGCTCATGAAATATCTGGAACATTCAGGTATTATCAACGATAGGCAATAGGGCTTCGGTCATCAGAGATCAACTGGTGACCTGCTCGCTTACGTCTCACATATATGGCAGCAATCTATTGAAAAATATGGTGTAATTTCCTAGATACGCCCCTGATCTGTCATCGTAATTGAGTATTAGAATGGTGACATTCTATAAGATTATATATGATTTTACACCTAAGATCTGCTATATAAGTTCAACAAACTCTCTATCTGTGCGTAAGAAAACAGTCATAAATCCGAAACTGAAGACCTATGCCACGGAGTAAACAAACCTTTTGTTTAATCCATTTAATCTGTGCCTAAGCGCCGGCTTACATAAGAAAGGGATTTCTACCTTGGTTCTTCACTCAGTTATCAACTCTCTTAGAGTACTGGTTCAACTTATCGGACTCTGAATGAATCTTGAAACTGGAATCTCGAATCTGAACCTGAATTTTGAATGTCTTCTTCATAGAACCCTTTTAGTTTTTATAGTAATGAATCCCTCCCTTTTGTTTAAAATAATTTCAGCTGTCTTTGGTAGAAGTCCATATTGCTCAAAGTGGAGTGAAATATTTCACAGGAAGGAAGGAATGCTCGAAGTCATCTCCACATATCATTAAAATTTGTGGAGATGACTTCGAGCATTCCTTCCTTCCTGTGAAATTTCAGCTGTATCTAACGGAAATCCGGTTTTTATAGCGTTATTTCATTAGTTCTTAACAGGGTTTCAGTTTAATCACTTGACATTGACTTTCATTGAATGCAGATATGCTTTCTTAGCGTGAGTGGAACCATCAGCACAAAGCTATTAAAAACTTACCACAATAAAAGAGGGATGTCATTTGAAAAAATTATTAGAAGTATGTGCTAAGAGGTGGTTCGTTGCGGGGTAGTTTTGATGACTAAATTTTTTGCAACACAATAACTTTCTCATTTTAATATTTGGTAGAAGTCCATGGTTTCTCAGGATGGAGTCAAGTACTAAATACTAAATGATACACGAAGTCATCTCCAGGACATTTAATGTGTTAATCACATTAAATGTCGTGGAGATGACATCGTGTATCATTTAGTATTTCTTCTCATTTTAGCCGTTTCCGAGAAAATACGTGTATGAATATAGAGTTGGGACACCCGGTATATAAGTACATATACATACCCCATGAACTTTTCCAGATATGTATGCGAGATGGTAAGCTGCGCTTCATATTCAGAATACACGACTTCAAACGTAAGATATGGTGCGGCACGAATATTTCTCTGTATTTCATGGATAAAGAACAGATTTACCCAAATACTGAATTCGAAATGATTCAGATGGAGATCGAACCTCATGGTCTTCTCATTTTTCCTCTGCAAATAGAACACGTCATCGATGAGTACAGTCCTCTTTGGACGTTTCGGCCTCTTGATATTCTTCAGTCGAGGTAAAGATGGGTGTAAAAAATTTCAGACGATAAGATGTCCACTAGATTCTTAATAAAACGACGTGTTTCGCTAACAGCGTATAGCTTCTTCAAGCTACTGTTGTTAGCGGAAAAATCTCTTTTTAGAAATCTTATCGTTTGTGAAGTTTTTTACATTCACTATGTATTTCTCAAGTAACAAAAAATGTCGTAAATGATAGAGGGCTGATAGAGTGATAGTGATAGACACCCTGAAGACGATTTTTCCTAAATATTTGTGAAACCGTTCATCCAGAAATCATGAAATTTGGTATAACATAAACTTTTTTCTGCAACCGACACAAAAGTCGTCTATTTTGATACCAAAATTAGCTCTTAAATTGACGTTTCTATTACTGACACAAAAATAGGTATGTTGCTAGGCAACATATTTAGTTCCTAGGAGCTAAAGTTGAATTTTAGTTCCTAGGAGCTAAAGTTCAACTTTTAACTCCTAGCAACTAAAAAGAATGTACTGGACGTCATCAAGAATAAACAACAATGTGACGGTTAGTTATTTGTGTTGACGCATACCTGATTTGTTTCCGATTTCAGCAGATTTGGCATTTCATACCCATGCTGGAGATATAAATACACCTTAATATAGTTTAGTGTTGGAATTATAAACATCTCAGCTAAGTATTTCTGTTTGATCAGGAAAGCCTTCAAGATTCAAATACTTGCTTGATCTGTATTTCATTCGTTATTCTCGGGATGGATAACTTGTTTTTGAATAATCACGGCAAGCAATAGTTTTTCGTCTCAAACAACGATATTGTTTAGCTTCATTTGATTATCATGTCAAACGCAGTGTAGTATGGAGAGGAATAAATAATCACTATTATCATTGTTGATATGCTCACTAACCTAACATTTTCCACGTCTTGTTCCTATAGCTGGCACTGGCGCGGTATTTACCATTAGAGCACCTGGTCCATACACAAATATCTCACTCTGTGGTTGTATTTATATTGAAATTACAATTCGATCATCCTAGAAAACCTAACCTGCTATTAATGCAGGTAGAATATTCTCACCACATGGATTATTTGTCAATATTTGTTGCATTGCATACATATGACACGGCATTGGTGGTTACTTCACATGTTTATTCGAGTTAATTGTTTCGGTTGCAGAAAAAATAGCATGTTTCATTCGGATCAAAAGTGACTTTGTTCGACTCGCAAAGTTTGCTTTCGCTCGGCTTCGCTAAACGCTCCGCCTCGCAAATGCAAAATTCGCTTGTCAAACAAAGTGTCACTTTTGATCCTAATGAAACAATCTACTATTAATGCTGTACCAAAATTTGAGTTCACAACTCCAAAATGTCAATCAGGGGCATATCAAATTGGAATTTAAACGCTGTGACCATCCGCTCCTGAGCTGTTTCGTAGATTCTCAATAATTTGTTTCCTTCATTTTATAGATTCGAGATCATTGCTGTGGCCGAAGGAAGTTCAAATATAACCGGAATTGTCTCACAAAACAGGACCTCCTATTCGAATTCTGATATTTTGTGGGGTCATCGCTTCAAACATTGCGTGGAATTCGATGATATAGAACATGCCTATATGGTAGACTACAAGAAATTCAAACAAGCCATCCCGTTCGACACTCCTCTATGTAGTGCGAAAAAATTGAGAGAGGTTGAACGCATGCAGGATTTGTCAAAAAAGTGAAAATTTCGAAACGTTAGACTAGGTATAATGAATTATCAATATCAATATTGTTTATATCCTGAATAATCGAATTATCGTTATCATTTTTTAATTTCATATTTCATTATCATAATATATTTACTATAAAAAATATTGTTTTTCTTCAACCCTTTTACGGAAAAATGTCATTTTTCCTGTGACGGGAAAATAGTGTGAAATTTCATCGCTGTTGACAGGTTATAAAATGTCACTTTTCATAAATTACTCTTTTCCCGCATATATATCACATATACATATACTTATATGAATAAGCCAATAACATCGTCTCCGAGAAAGAACTGCAAGTCCTTTTATCGTGAATTCTTGAGTCCTTTGATGGAAATTGCCGTTAAAGTCACCATAGGTGACAAATTGTGGATACAATTGATACAAATTATAAAACTTTGAGTTGTAATTATATTATAAAAATGTCACATCAATGTCAGACAACAAGTATTCTCCGATTGAGTGGCAAGTATCAAATACTGCTTCTCTGATCTGCAACAGAACATCACATATCGATCGAAGTAAATCTATATCAGAAAAGAAATATCATTAGATGAATTACATGGATGTTGAATCTGAGACATACCTGAATAATTTATTCAACGTCCGTAACTGGATTGCTACATATCCGCTTTTTTTCTGAATAGTGTTTTTTCCAGTAGACATCTTCCACATTTCCAATTACGCACGTGGGTTATATTAAGGACCTTAAAGGCCAAACGATGTGCTGCTCGGATCTAAAACTAAGGATCAATTTCAAATTTTAATCGTGAGACCTAAATAGAATATTGGATATTGTTTTCAACATTCGTAACTGGAACGCGATATATTTTTGTAATTCATCAATTCATCAACTATCTCAATGAAGACAAGACAGACAGATAAACAACAATTTTCTCTGCAATGAAGAACACTTTATATACCTAACCCACCATGCGTCTACCTCCTTTGCAGAGAGGGTTTACAAACGCCGAGTTGATACTCTCCCCTCGTAAGGGTACCTGTCGTGTTTCCATAGAGACATAAAGGTGAATATCTGTCTTATCTGTTTTCTTGAGAATCTGGAAAGGATATCAATATATAGCTTTCCGTACGAATATAAGGATCTGAATTCTGTAATGTATTCTTCCTGGCATTTTTCTTTGCAGATTTTTTGTTTGATTGATTCGTCGTGACTGGATGGTTTTCTCCGATTCAGTGACTTTGCTTCTCAGATCTGCAAATAAACATGACATCAAATATCGAAATATATAAAAACTAATACTGATTTTCATGAGAGGCGAAACATGGATGTTGAATCTGAAACATACCTGAATAATATTTCCAACATTCGTAACTGGAACGCGATATATTTTTGTAATTCATCAATTCATCAACTATCTCAATGAAGACGGGGCAGGCAGATAAACAAAACAATTTTCTCTGCAATGATACTACAATACTGCAAGAATAATCTTTCATTTCCACTCATAAAGCAACGTTATCAAGTCACCAATTATAATCAATTTATCATAAAGATTAAAGTCCTGTCGTTGAATAAAATACGAGATGAAACATAATAAAAGAGTACGCCATGATATTATAGGTCATTCTCGACTTTCTCGAGCTACCAGCATGTCTGTATATCGATCTCTTGTACCCTATAACAAAATATCATGTTGATGTTGAAGACTTGGCAACAGTGTGCTGAATGCTGAGAACTGACAAGGCACCGCCCACAATTCGTGCGCCGGGTTGTCACGTTCACCCTCAAATATCCTCTAGTGTGAATTAATATAATAATATTAATATTAACACAAATGTATTATAAACAATAAGCCACAACAGATGAGGGAATATTTTGTGACAATTGATGTTTATGTCTAATTAGGAAAATAACCAATACAAAATTGAGAATTTATGAATTATTGAATAACCAATATTTCCTAAGTTCCAATCGTATTTCAACATATGGCAACTATGCTATGGTCTGTCCCTATATCCTTACGAAATCGTGACGCAAGTTTTTACTCGCGCTAAATTTTTTGCCTTTTGAAAATTACCGTGGCATTATTGTTGATCTCACCACCTCAAAATCGAATGAAGAATTCTAAAAATATATGAAATTGAAAGTTATTTGAGTGATGATTCTATTTAAGAAATAAAAAAAATTAATCAACTCGCCTATTTCATTTTTGTGGATGGTTCCATGGCTGTTAGCGAGCAGTGTATATCACTGAAGATGACTCCACTTGGTCATAGTGGGTACTTTCAGTATATATCTACCGTTCCTGCAAATTTCAGAATCCTAACTGAACAAATACGAAAGATACAGGAATGCTTCCATTAAAAGTGATACACACTGTGCAATGTTCATCTTCAGTCAATTCTGATCTTCGTATCTCTTCATCTGAAGTTTCATCTTCAAAATGAGCCTGAGATTTTGAAAATCGGTTGGAAGGAAAAAAGTTATGACTGCAAAACCTGAAAGTTAATTTTTCGATATCACTCTGTGAGTAAAAGGGATAATAAGACAATTCAAAAAATGTCTCAAGGTAATCTGCTGTCAAAGTTTAGAAAATAGTATATTACACACCGAGGTGGGAAGTGATTTATTCCTGGCGTGAGATTAGTTAGTTAACCGAGACGCAAAGCGTCGAGGTTAGCTATAATTTCGAGACAGGAATGAAACTTCCTACCGAGGTTTGTACACTATTTTATCTACTCACTGCATAGGAAGTTAGCCAACATCACATATATGGTTGTGAATAAAAAAGTCTCACGACAGGAATGAATCACTTCCCACCTCGGTGTGTAATATACTCGTTCATTTGGGATACTTTTGAAAATTCAAAAATTTTTCATAGTTTCAGGTGACACCCTGTAGCGACTTTATATGAAGAACCTCATGTTTTAAAGAAGTAGTAGCTTATAGCTGAGGGACTGGGCTAGCGAACAGTGTGAACCAATTTCAAATTGTTCAAAGCAGAAAAAAAGTTATTCCTATTTTAACAGGGAGTGAAAATTTTATGACTAATCACCTTATCCAGGAATGCGGGCTGGATATAAATAGAATATACCATAGGAAATTATACAATTAGTACAGGGTATTTCGAGACAAATTTCCAATCTGAGTATATGAATGATAATAAGAGTTCGACAATTCGTGTGTGACCATTTCAAAGAAATTTTGACGACTTCGAAAATTTCTCTGTGAAAATTGGCAGTTGCGGTACCAAGCCTAGCACAGTCAGCGATACGGATTGACAATTTTTTTTTCGGGTTTGTTCTAATCGCATACATTTTCTCACAAAAAATACGTATATGTATATGAAAATGAATCAAAGGAGTACCTACTCTAAGATTTCTAGATGTATCGAGTGGTATCGGCTCAAAATACCTATCAGATTATACTATCGCACTCATAATAAAAATTTATAAAAAAAACTCACCAGCGTGAAAAAGTTAAAAAATGATTTCTGCAATTCCATTGTTCGGAATTTTCGATAGAAAAACACATTGCTATCAATATGTTTTAGGGCACACTCCCTTTGGAACGATAAATAATTCTCTTCGCGTATTTTTCAATGTCGATCACAAAATTCGGCCGTTCGTGGTGACATCTAATATAAAACTGTCTTGATTTTACCACCTGGTTGCCCGAATGAATGACTAATGAGTTGAATCATACTGATAACCGATTAATTTCCGAACAAATGATTTATCTATGACTAATGATGATAATGGAATTATACAGGGGGGGGGAGAGTATGAGAAATGATGATTATACGGGGGAAAAGAGATATACAGGGTGTTGCGAAATTCGACCGACAACGCCTGACAGGTGATGGCCCTCGTGATTTCATAATCACTGAGATAGGGACATACGGTCTTCAAGTGTTCAGTTCTCGAGATACAGGACGTTAAAGTTAAGAAATAAAAATAGTTGTTTCGCAATATCTCAAGAAATATTGAATATAATGCATTCAACTTCGGTATATGTCTTCATCTTTGAATGGGTCATTTTTTGACCAGGAAGTCATTCCGGACATTTCATCTAGTGATGCCCTACATGCAGGGGGATGTGGCAACTTTTTCTCCCATATATTTTCTACGCCACTGAATAAATTTCAATTATTTCCAATTCCTCGAATTCATAATTCAATTTTGTTCAAAAAATGCATCACCTTCAACTGAGCTGAAATGAACAGTTTTCGAGATATTCGACCAAAATAGAAGATTGCATAGTATTATTTCATCATTTTCATTCAGATCTCATTCTGTATAGCTGAACAGAAATACATAAACAAGAGACGGACACCAAGTCATCTCCACAAATTTATTAACTGAATATTCAGTGTCTGAACATGTTTTAGACTATCAATAGTCCATCATCAGCAGAAGCATATTTTTGAATGACAATTTCTACAAAAGAACAGTTTTTTATATAGTTACAATTAAATGTTATACCTTAGGTTATGTATATTCAAGTGGAAGTGAAAAAAAGAAAGGCAACAATAATATCAATAGTACAATTTACATTATGAGAAATAAATAATGAAGGGCAAATATAAATTTAAAAAAAATTGTTTTTTATTGACATGTCACTCATTACGGCCCTGCTTCTTCTCGCATCTCACCCAATATTCTTCGCTTGACAGTTTCGTGTCACTTGTCATTGGAGACATACTTCACGCATCCCATGTCAAGTTAACCCACGGGCATGATTTCAATCTGACCTGAAATGAGGTATCACAGGATGCAAAGAGACAGGGCGCAACAAATAATCCGTGCGAAAAACTAATAGCGTTTTCCACTCGTCGCACTAGCTCGAACTTTTTCGGCACTGAGCGCGTTTTGCGTGGTCTACTGAGAATTTCAAGAGCGAACTTTTGTCGAGAAATGATTTCCACTGGCTTTCAAACTTGCTCGATGCCCGCTCAGAGTTCGAGTTTTCAGAACTATGCTTGTACGACGGTGCGATACACCTAACCTCAAATATTCGAGTCACGAGTGGAAAAATGTTTGGAATTTGAATAATTATTAATGTCTCATTGTAGTTAATTACTATTATTACAATAATTTCCTAAATCATAGATACTTCGGATACAAGCGATGATGAAGAAATGATGATTGAGATACAGAAGTAGGTACTTCGTTACGAAACAGCGTTTACGGAAGATTCAAAATTACCTAAAAGTTGAAGAAAGCTATTCAGGTGTGCAGGTATTAAACATATTTGATTGTTGATTCAGTAATGATGAAAAATACTAAGTTCGTGAACGACACTTCAATGCTACATCACTATTGGCGAATGATTCAATTGAACATCATTGACAATGAACATTCATACTGATATGTTTCTGACTGATTGATGGCAGTGTTCACAGGGAAACCACAATGAGAGGTAGATGAATTCATTTCATGTGGACCAACGGAAGAAAAAGTACTTTCTATAATTCAACTTTTTGATCGACTAAACAATTATCCTGACATTTCTGATGACAAGAAGGTCGCACCAACTCTCTATTTCTATTCCTCTGCTCTGTGCTGGAACCGCACTTTATGGAAGAACCAAGCCAGTGCCTTTTGTACTTGCTCTGTGCTTGGGCGCTCTGTGAATCGGCGAGTGGAAAACGCTATTAAGTTCGACATTTGTATGTGAACCAGTTTTCCAATGGAATTCAAAACCCGACACCAGATTTACCAATGGAATACAAAATATGCACTCAGTGCGAGCCAGTTTTACCAATGGAATTCGCTATTTTTCTCTGTTGACAGGTTAAAAAATGTCATTTTTCATAAACCACTTTTTTTCCACGTGAAAAAGTGAGTATTCTTTTTTCTCAGATATAGATATATATAACATTTCGCGGTTACGTAAATCACTATAAACAACCACTAAGTTCTCAATTTTTCAAAATCAAAACGCAGAATTAGACTGACAGATATTTGATTACTTCAAAAGAATCATGAACATGCAAAAAGATGCCTGCAACGCAGGTGCGATTCCTGTTAAAAATGTTACGTCGATGATTTTCCGAATTCAATACAATGTAATATCTTCTCAATATTGATTCGTCCTCTGTCCTCTCACCAATGATGCCTCTCACAGAAGAAAATAGTGTTTTTCTCCGATCGGCAGCAAATATTAATTTTGCTGACACATATCAATCAGCAAAGTATTACTTTTCCTGCCTAGGCAGCAAAGTGGGTACTTTGCTGCCTAGGCAGCAAAATGGTTACTTTGCTGATTGATATGTGTCAGCAAAATTAATAATCCATAAATCGTTTATAATTTCCTTTATATTTCATCCAAGACTTCTCCGGCAACAAATTCAACTCTATATTTTTTGCCACCTCCCTTATTTCTGGAGTAAGTACTTGCAGGTCGCTATCACTGTCCATTACATAATAATTTAAATATACCGATGTTTTTTCGCACAACTGTCAGAAATTTCATGAACTGTCAAACTATAATTATTATGGACATTTCCATAGCAACCAACCATTCCAACAACTGCAATTTCTATCAAATTTTATTTTAATTGAACACTACAGGAAAAATAAAGAGATTGTGAGAATTGTAATAATTTGCAAATACAAAATCCTCCTACATCATTATGAACAATCGGAGAAAAAATTATATGTTCAACTCGGCAGCAAAGTAGATTGACTGCCTTAGCTGAAATCCTAGCCTCGCTACGCTCGGCTATGAATTCAGCCTCGGCAGTCAATCTACTACTTTGCTGCCTAGTTAAACAAATAACTATTTATGCACGGAAAAAATATTGAGTTTTGAGGGTTACTACTCAGTTACAATCACGTTACAGAAATAAGAAGAAGCAGAGAATCAGAGAAATGAATTAAATGATAAAACTATCAGAGTTGTTTTTTTTAGTACGTCAACACAATTAACACTAATCTAGTACAAAAACAAGAGCCGGATAGCCCCATGAGACAGCCCAAACTATTGCATATGCATACATTCATACGAAACAATTATTTGAAGAAGATATGCTATAATTGGAATCCTAATGAAACCATTATTGATAAAAACAAATAATTTCCAATTCATTAACGGGGAATCATTGAGCTGCTATTGACAAACTGATTTTGTGGAATCGTTAATTTTGAAGTATTATTTTCTCAATTTAGTACAATATACTTGATTTTAGTACAATTTCGGAATGACTTCTAGTACAAATTGAAATTCTGAAAGGCTTGTCTGAAACGAGTGAAACGACAACAACTTCAACAACACTGTAAACGATTCTTTTTGATAACTGACAGCTGTGTTTGTAATCTGTTTTTGAGTGTAAGTGCAGTTTAATTTTCACTTAAATACATAATCACAATAAATTCAAGTCATCAAACTATTAAATGAATTGATATACTCGAATCAACGTTAAATTAATGTAGTCGTTATTATATTTCGTTTATTTCCGATATTTATTTGTCCTATCAGTTGTAGAGAGATGACCTAACCTTAATTGGTAATTTCTTTCAGGTACGGTTGCTGTAGTTTTCGATATGGCCAAGTCAAAGAATCATACCAATCATAACCAGAGTGAGTATATAGTGTTTATCGTTTAGCCTGTTTTCTAATGAATCTATTGTCTTGCAGACCGTAAGGCTCACCGTAATGGAATCAAGAAGCCAAAACGGTTTCGTCATGAATCTACACTTGGTGTAAGTAATAACATTCCATAATTATTCATATCAGATAGGGTTGGATATTTTCTTTGATTCCTAGGTTGGAAATGGGCAGCTCAATATAAAGCAAATATAAAAAACTTCACTCTGATAATAAGGTGTAGTTTAATATTTTATATAGAATTTTGCTGCTTTTATTCCTCCTTAATTTATTAATGAAAGAGATTAGTAGTGTTCAATTTGTAAAACAATTAACAAAGTGTGTAGGGTTGATGGACTTACTTAGCTAAACTAGCACCCAGTTTTATGCCATTACAATTTCACATTGAAATATAGTAAATAATTTGTATGCAAGATGTGGCTGAGCTGGATGGATCATTTTTAGAGTGAATCATTGTGATCTATAGATCATGTTATTTCTCATCACTGAGATCTTGTAACTCATAAGGTATCTTTGAGTTAAAGAATCTGTTAAATTCTCAGAATATGGTGGATTAACTAAAAATTATTCTCGTTTTTTTTTCTATTTTATTCCACCACTGGGATTTCCTAAGGTAGTAGAGATGAAGATTTGATTATGAGGAGAAAGTTTCTGCTTTTAATACTGATTATTAATTTATTATGAAATTTGATATAAAAATTATTTTTGGAGAAGGAACTATTTCTCTGCTGAACTGTTTTTTATTTAGGGATATTGATTCAAATTCCATACTAAACTTGAAAGATATTGAAAAAATAAACAAATAGATGGTGCAAAATCCTACAAGCATTTTTGTATCAAATATGTGTTTCATCAAAAAAGATATGATTGCATTCCCTGAATGTTTTTTGAATTGTGAACCACATGTCTTCAAACATGAGGTAGCCTGGCAAAGATTTGTCTTCTGTACTGAGATTTATATATCAGTTTTTCAACTACTAGCACATATTTCATTGAAAAGGAATCTTCTTAAATAAATTATGAACATAAAAAAATGAAAGAATGGATATACAAATAAAGAAATACATTGAGTATTTGCATTCTCTATGTGATAAAAATATTAATTTTAAAATATTAATTCTTCCGTTCATTGAACAGAAAACAACTACTTTCCCATATGCCATGAGAAATTACATAGAAGAAATAGGATGTTTGTTTTAAGTCAATTGTTTCAATTAATAATTTATTGACCAGTAGTAAAGAAAAATGATTTGATAGCATACATAGGTAATGGTCTGTTGTAGAACTAGTAGTAGAAAAAATAATTTTCTCAAAATTACATTCACATATCTTTCCAGATGGATGCTAAATTCTTGAAAAACCAGAGATTTTCTAAGAGGCACAACTTGAGCACCAAGCAACAGTTGAAGCGTGCAACAGAAAGGAAAGCTGAAAGAGAAACTAAAGCTACAAAATAGATTAATGTGACATAATAAAAATAATTTTACAAAGTTATGTGTTTCCTTACAAAAACAATGAGCAAGCAATTAATTTTAGCTTCAGTACATTTTTTTTTCAATATTGAAATTTAAATGAGGATATCAGCCCCACTCCCATTCATATACTATTTTGATATTTAATTTATGGGATAATATGTCTTCCTGGGTGAAATGATACAAATTGTGTGTTGTTTACACAAAAATTAGAAGAAATGAAGTGAATACCATTTCAACAAGGGTTTCTTCTAAGTACCTGGAAGTCTTGAAATGTAAGAAATCCTCCAAAATCATTATTGGCTTGATTTGGTATCATGTAGAGAAACGGGATATAGAAAAAAGTGATGAATAGAAACATTAGAAAAAATCATATATTTTTTGTTGGAATAAATTACATATAAATAAATAGATCATTTTTTGAGGAAAGAATATTTTAATTAAACTTCTTTGAAATCACCTTATTTCCATCTACACACCGGCAAAGAATTTTGCCAAATTGATCGCTCTGTAACTTTCGACCTGGATTTTGAATCCCAAAAAGAACTGATGACCTGAGCATACAGGGAGTTACCCCTAACTTCTCAACACCCTGTGGTGAAAGTGAGTGGTTAAACTTGACTTCACGTTTTGGATTAAACTGTGATCTCTCTATTTTATAACAATAGTATGGCATTTTTTCATGTACAATAATCCAGAACCTTCTGATTCATCATGTTTTGGATTTAAATTCAATACCTTTTCGACCCTTCTCAACACAATATTTCTTGATTCACGCCGATCTCTTTTTTTTTTAGAGAAGATACAAGTGTTAAGAAAGTATGAACTGTTTATTTTTTATCAACACTAATTCAGAACCTATAGAGTATCTTTGGAATGAACTCCTGAGGCTCATTCACTTTCCAGACTTCCAGAGCTACGAGTTGCCATTCTAGGAACATTTTAGGAAATTCCTCAATTCAAGCTCGAAAAGGGCATACTATCGTTATTGACTACATCTAGGAGATCTGCTTTTCGTTTGTATTCAGTTAATCACGGTTTCTCTGATGAGTGCTCAAAAACGGGATGGAAATGAGCGATATCAATTTTCGGGTAGTTAATAGATAAGATACTCACTTAAAAAAAGGGTATCTTCTCTTAAAAAGAAGATATTGACGTGAATCGAGAACTATTTTGTTGAGAAGGGATCACACTTCAATGAAGGAGATGCTAAATCTATGCAATCACTCTCTTTTGCCAAAGGGCGTTGAAAAGTTTAACGTGAAAAAGTCACTTCTGTTTTTGCCTGTGTATCAGCTTTTTTGAAAATCGAAATCCAGGTTAACATTGCGACACATAAATCCACGATTCGGTTGAAATATCACGAGAATCGGAAAAGAGATAAAAAAGTTAAAGGGCGATCAATTCTTTTGCTGGCCGGTTTTTTTTTGCGGGTGTGTATATTATAGTAACATTCCGAGAATAACCATCACGAATCATACATGCTAAACACTGTATTGTCAGAATGTTTATTCTCTGTCTATCAAATTTGTGCGGACAAAATGATCTCGGAAGAAAATCCCGAAATTCCAGATAATATCCTCTAGAGCAAGCGGCACAAGCGACCGTGAATTCATTACCAGTAAAAGAGATATTCACATAAATATCAACTTTTCACAGAATGGTGAAATCTGAACAAAATCAAAACTGTAAGTGACGATTTTTCTGTCGAAAAAGCTGAATCTATGAATCTTCCATGACATGGAGTTGATTCTCAGTGCTAAAGAGTTGTTTGGCCATAAAAGATCATTACATCATCAAGTTTCGTTTGTGGCTTTTGTATGTAATATTTCATTATTATATTCTCATTTTCAAGGGAGTGTAATAAATAATATCGTTTATTATACGTCCAGAAATGATTTTTCCGTGCTTGCATGACTTCCCGTGTTGGTCTACGCCTCACAAGAGAATTTGTCACAAGGAAAAATCCGTATTTCCAGAATCATAATGAAATATACTATTCCTGCCTACAATGATGCTATGATCATTTAGATTACATTATTGCTACTGAAATAAATTGAGGTTGGGTTTGGTTCTCATATTGATAAAAATGTTCTCTTTGATGATTGACATAATTATCTAGTCTTCAATTAATCTGCATTAAAAACATGAACGTAATATAAAAAAATAGACTGCCATACCAGAGTTTATTGTCTTCACTGACTCAGCTTGAAATGATCTGTAACTTTGGAATTAGAAGATCCTGGGGCAAGTTTTCGAAACTTATTAGATGAAATGGTGGAGCTGGTTTTATTACGTTTCAAACCAGTCTGAATTGGCTTTGGTGATGGATATATGTCTTCTTTACTAGATCCTCCTAAACCATTATAATGGATAACACCATTTTTGGAAATCCCTTTATCTTCAAGTTCAGAGGTACTGGATTTGAAAATAGTGTACTGAAATGAGTAATATTATGAATCAAATACTGATACCATGTATAAAGGCTGGTACTCAATCCATATGATGAATCAAGTTCGAGTAGAGTTTCAAATAATTATTGTTATTGGACATCAGTTGTCCAATATTTTTGAAAAATGTTATAGTTTTCAGATATTTTTCACCTATACCGCATGTCAACGAATCTATTAGACAAGTCATAACTTCTAGTCCATTAGGTGTATCAAAATGAGATTTGGTATTGGTAAATGGTATGTGAAGAGGAGAGTTTTCACATATTTTTCACTTCCCGGTCGCTTCCGGTTTCACCGGAAATGGCTCCAGTTCTAAATGTTTAAATGGAACACCCTGTATATTGTAACATTTTTGTATTTCTGAGACAATTCCAGATCAGAATGTGACACTTTCGAAAGTTTTTATGCCTGCTTGATTTTTTCGGAGTCACTTTTGAAATTACATCTAGGTGGCCATGATCGGAAGTAAACTAATCTATAAGGACCTCGGGTGATATCAGAAAATTACAATCGCGAGTTTTAGTGACAAGTATGATAGATATGAATAAGACAAGTTGGCAAAATCACATTTTCGTGTCAAACTATTATTTTTCAAATGGCGAACATTTTTTGACAAGCACTTTCCGAAAAAAGGATATTTTGACGAATCTAACGATACTAATTTATCTGCGATTGGATTACAAATAAGAACATGAATTGAATATTACTGAAGAAAATACTTCATAATAATTTATTTACTTTCGTCAAGTGTGCCGAGGATAGGCATGATGCCCAATATTTTGCAGTTATTTCGATCAAGTCTTTTTGGGAGAACAAAACACTCACTTAGGTTATGACAGTGTCATAAGTTTCAAGAGCAAATAAATTAGTATCGTTAGTTTCGTCAAAATAACCTTTTTTCGGGAAGTGCTTACAAAAGTAAATGAATTATTCTCCATGGCACACTTGACAAAAGTAAATAAATTATTATGAAGTATTTTCGTCAGTAATATTTAATTTATGTTCTTATTTGTAATCCAATCGCAAATAAATTAGTATCGTTAGATTCGTCAAAATATCCTCTTTTCGGAAAGTGCTTGTCAAAAAATGGTCCCAATTTGAAGAATAATAGACACGAAAATGTAATTTTGCCAACTTGTCTTATTCGTATCTATCATACTTGTCACTAAAACTTCGCGATTGTAATTTTCTGATATCACCTGAGGTCCTTAGATTAGTTTACTTCAAATCATGGCCACCTAGATGTAATTTCAAAAGTGACTTCGAAAATATTAAGTAGGCATAAAAACTATCGAAAATGTCACATTCTGATCTAGAATTGTCTCAGAAATCCAAAAATGTTACAATATACAGGGTGTTCCCTTTGAAAATTAAGAACCGAAGCCATTTCCGGTGAAACCGGAAGTAACCGGAAAGTGAAAAATATATGAAAACTCTCCTCTTCACATACCATATTTACCTATACCAAATATCTCAATTTGATACACCTAATGGTCTAGAAGTTATGACTTGTCTAATAGATTCGTTGACACCCAGTATAGCCAATTTAAAAATTACCCTATATAAGCATTTGAAATGGTGACACAGCAGAACAGGGTTTTTCATATAGATGATTTTCCAAGGCCCATATTATGCTCTAGGTATATTCAGAACCAAATTCTGATTGGGTATATAGGTATAATGCAAAGGTGAAAAGTCAATGGTTGGTTCTGATGCCACACCTTCATATTGGTCCATTTCAAAATTGATGGTATTGTGACATTCTGACAACCATCAAATGCCTAGGGACTTCCATATTGGACATTTCTATCTGTTGGAGAGTGAAGTGTGAACTCTTTAAACAAAGTTGCAAATATACCAGTAATCAGTATCATTTCATGATACAAAAATTATTGGAGCAACAGAAGGTGGTTCTAGATATGTAAACAATGATAGTACTTTGTCATCTAAATAAAAAGGACCTATTAAAAGAATAAACTCATATAAAAACTCACTCCCAAATTTCCTCCACTACTATTAGTTGAAGGTTTGACTGATGTGGTGAATTTTGCACTTAAAATTGATCCATATGCCATGCCCACAGCTTTAGATTTCACTGGTAAGTATGGTGACTCAGAGTCCACAATGTTTTGAACTTTTTCTGCCTGTAAAATGCAAAAAGCTAACTTTACATGAAATTCTCTCAACTGCTCAGTTTCAATTATAAATTAGGAACATTATTTTGAAAATTCTCATTATTTAGTAGGGTTTTAGTGAGACAAATTAAGGCAAAACTTACTATTGGAAGTGATGTATTTTTAGAAGTAGTGATGTCCAATAATGTTCTTTCAACTAAACTATGGTCAGAGGATAAACTAGTATTTGTGATGTCTAATTCATTCCCATTTTGTTTCATTTGAATATATTTAGTTTTATATAACTGTTTCTCCTTCTCATACTTTGTTTTGATTTGTTGTATTTCTCTTCTGAAAATGTTAAGTATAGGTGAGTACATAATATAATATAATGTTATGAAAGATTTGAAAAGCATTGATAGATGAAGGAATCATTCAATTTACTTCAAATTTGAATTTTCACTGTTGATATTCATGTATTCCTTTTTGTATTTTTTTGCTTCATGTTGGGCTCTTTTCAAATTTTGGTCTGCTTCCCGTTTCTTCTGTTGAGCATCTAACAAATTCCTAAAAGGATTAATAGTATTGTATGTGTATTCCTATATATTTCTGGTAAATTTTGTGGAAAAAATATGAAAACTTTTATAATTAAGAAAATAGAAGTAAAAATAAATGTTATTCTTACTAATCTATATGCCAGATCTGAATATGAAGATTATCATTGAACACTTTGAAACACCATTTTTCTTGAATTTTTCTTACTTTTTCAACATTGCTGCTACAATTGCCAATGATTCTACATGATTCTGATTCTTTATCATTTCATTTGCTTGATCTCTTGTACCATTTATTGCAATTTGTACATTTTCCATATCTTTTATATTGTTTTTCAATTTCACTATTTCTTCTGTGAGTCTATCAGAATCTTTGGCTTTTGATTTGAAATAACTTATTTGTTGCTTCAAAGCATGAACTGTAGATTCATTGACTTTCTCATTGTGTTCAAGTTTTGTTACTTCTGTTCTGAAATTGAGTACCTACATAAATTATTGATTTGATAAAACAAATTATGAAATTGAAAAATACCTCAAAGCCAAATGTTGTTTCTTAAGTTTTTGTATTTTATCTAGGTGTGCCTTCTTGTCTTTATCAGCCTCGGACAATTTGTACTGCAAATCATCGATTTTATTCAGTAATGTTCCAACATCTTGGGTTTGTCCCTCAGCATTGGCAAGATTAAAATAGACTCTATGTAGTGTTTTTTCGGTTACCCTCTGTCTGCATTGAGGGCAACTTTTGGATCTACAAAAAATCGGGTTGATTTTATTTCTATCATGTTTCTACTTATGAGTGTTTCTACCATTCTACCTACCTCTCTAGCCATGATATTAAACAGTGGAAATGAAACATGTGCCCACATTGTGTAATATGAACTTCTGATGAAGGGACAAACAAATCACTGCAAATAACGCAATTGATATTCATTATTCACAAAAATAGTCCATTCAATGGTGTAATAAAAAGCAACCACTTTTTGCTTCTTTTCATAGAAAACCTCTCTCATGTTCCGTTTTGAATAAGATTTTGAAGTTGTTTTTGTTTTGAATGCAAGGCGCAAGGCAAAACGCAAGAATTCAAACAACCATGAATTTCGGATCCCGGCATATTCACACCAATCAGAAGGCCTGTTCGCAGTTTCTGCATGAAATTTATATTGTACCAATGACGGCTAAATATCTAGACTGTCTGACGGATTGTACACTACACTTTTCGGCCTGGACGAGTGTAGTGGTACTAATAAACATTAGCAAGGTTGGTCGAACTGATTATAATTTGTATTCATTTCTACCAACCTTGAACATTAGGACAACGTCAAAATTTTGCCGTATAGCCCTGAAGATTATGGCCTGTTTCATCGAGAATATTCAAAATACATTAAATGTTGATTATTTGAACAAATAAAAAACCTCAAGCAACGGAAATACTTGAGCAGACTTACATTTTTAATCTCAATGGTAGAGTTTTTGGTTGTCGACCGGCTGACCGATTGTTCGTTTGTGTCACGTATTAGTCACCTAGAGTTCCTAAATGTATATGTACAATATACAATATACAAATTTATATTACAAAAAACGACAAAACAGCAGTGTCAAGTACATTTACGAACTCTAGTTTCGACCGGTCCCTTGTATACAAAACAGTATAAAACCGTAAACTTCACTGATCAATTCATAATATACCGAAAATAATTTCAGGATCCTTACCCAACGATTACGTAAGATACAGGGGTGGTTCCATTAGAAGTGGGTCACGCACTGTAGGTATATATGAGAATATGGACTCGTCATTTTTAATATATAAAACGGAAAACAAATGTTGATGATTCACCTCCTTCTCATGGACTATAGAATCATTCTTATTACAGTTCAAAGTTATTTTTGGACAGTCTAACAACCCATAGCCAGCACAGAATATTCTATGAATATTTCTGCATGACAACGGTCAATTATACTTATTTCAGAATTTTCTGATAGAATGTTCTCAAGATGATCATAGAATATTCTCGTTCTTCCGCAAATATTCTATGAACATTCAATTTGACATATTTTCAGAATACTATTTTCGAATATGAGCATATTCTGAGAATATTGAAATATTCTCGGAGAATATCCTATGAACGTTTTATGAATGACATTATTGTGCTATCTGGGAAAAGTTGTTATGAAATCATACATAAAGTTGATGATGTTTCTGCTTTATGAAATCATACATAAAGTTGATGATGTTTCTGCTTCACAGAGAATCAAGACAAAGTGCGGCCGCATCATGGCGACTTATATTGAAACAAACGATGAAAACGTATTGAACATCCTTTAAAAAAGACTCATTACCCACACCCTATACAATCCTTCAATGTTTGCTCCCTCTACTCCCAGCTCCTATTTGAATATAATTGAAATATTTATCCCTGGTGATTTATTTTCATTTCCCAAGTGAAGGTGCAATGATTCCAATCCAATTCCAATCACTTTTTTTCTCAAAGATGATAATAATAGGTGAATGTGATAAAATCGCAATTATCAAAAACACAAGTTCAAATTTGAAATTGAATATTAGGTACCTATTCAATTTCATTTAGCGAATTATTATCAGCTGTATTCTTATAAATACTTTGCATAGGTACCTCTATTTGCTTTTGACATCTATTTATATTGCCTAAATAATTTCATACCAATATGAAAATTAGGACATCAATCAATATTGACAATATTTGGCCATCCATGGAAAGCTAATATAGACAAGTAGGTAAATAGGTGATTCAAGAAAATCAATCAAAATTGACCTTGATGCAATTTGCAATATGTATATCCTCTCTTTGAGACCTTGAAACAGTAATTCAATTAGAGTATTTTGAACACTGACCCATATAAAGGGGTGTTTTTTTCTTAAAACTAACATTTGTTTGAGACCACTTCCATCAACATGACACATGAAGACAAAAAAGGAAAATTTCTACTACCTGACGATGAGAATCGTCCATCAGGAACTAGTACTCCTGTGTTTACATGGTCACCCTTACCACCAAGAAAACATTTCAATATACCGAAAAATAAAGTATGTATTTTTTTTGTCAAGAAATAGAAGTAAAATTTCTGCTGGAATAATTTTTAAGAAAACTGAAAATTCATCTAAATGTGAGAGCTCAGTGAAACTCTATCCCAACTGTGATGTGAAGGTCTGGTTGAGATCTTGTGAGAAAGAAATTATTGAACCAATTGAAGGAGAACTTACAGGTAAAGTATTACATCCAAAAATAAATCAAAATCATATAATATCAACCAAATGAACTATTCCAGAAACTCACAAATAAAAAATTATGAATAAACATCAATAGTAGGTACCTACCTAACGAAGATATCAAAAATTATGTCTTGGTACAATAAATGTTCATGAATTCAAAGTTTCAGATGATGGTATTTTTTTTTCATGACATTGTTTGACCCTGATTATTTTCAATATCTTCATATACAGAGTGTATTCATGAGGTGATCTTGTAACTTAAATATCCTAATAATATACAGGGTGTTTCCTAACTACGGTTCCTAACTGCAGGGGGTGATGTGTCAGGTCATTTTGAGAATAAAAGTTCATATGAACATATATCCGGAGTTGCTTCGTTTCTGAGATACAGGGCGTTGAAATTAAAGAAAAAAAAACGGTAATTATAAAATATCATGAATATCCTGGAACCGATATGGTTGAAATTTGGTACTTTTATTTATCAAATTTTCTGAAATTTCAGCATATCAAGTGTCAATTAAATTTTTGGCGGAGATAATGAAAAACTCATTTCTCCAATGCAGGTGTTCATGATATGCAATACTAAGGCTTTGATTTTTTTTCTCGAAAACGAAGCTGGATATGAAGGAAATGCAAGAGACCAAAAAGTTGTATTTTAAGTTGCTCAATCTAAACAAAATGAAAATTCACCAAAAAAGTCAGTGGCGCACTTTTTTTTCACAATATTGTTGGCTGTGGTGCCCACTGAGACGCCACTGGCCCCAATAATTTCAATCTGAATAGGGCTAAATAAGCGCCTTATTAGTTCAAATGAAAGTACCAAATTTCAACCAAATCGGTTCTAGGATATTCATGATATTTCATAATTACCGTTGTTTTTTCTTCAATTTCAACGCCCTGTATCTCAAAAACTAAGCAACTCCGGACATATGTTAATAGGAAGTTTTCTTCCTAAAATGACCTAACGAATCACCACCTGCAGTTAGGAACCGTAGTTAGGAAACACCCTGTATAATAATAAGCTACAACAATTATTGCAATTTGCAGGAAACAAATGTTGTTTCTTGGGAGAAATAAAGTTGATTGATTGAACTTCATAATTTAAAAGTCCCAGTTTCTTCAGGTGAACAATTCATACTTTCCATTAAGAATGACATCAGCCTTATATTAGCAGATTATTTTAGGATTTTAGGAATATTTATAAAACATGGCCAAATCTTAGTGAGTATAGTGAATTTTGAAACATATACATATTACCTATACTCACAACATCTACACAGAACATGATGTGAGTTCTGATTGGAAGAACCTGTGACTGAATTCAATATTGGGTGAAGATTCCATTTCCCATACTCCTGAACCTGAATGGTCTTCTTTGGTTCCTGCCACAAATTCTTCTGATAAAAGTTACAGTTTGTGGAAATGCCTTGCTGTCAGTTGTTTCCAAATAAACATCCAGGTACAAACACAAATAAGCAAGTTGTAGTGACAAAACCCAAGATATTGGATCATCTTTCCCACAGTCTAAATTCACAATTCTTTCCATGTCCCTGATTGCATCATTATTACTGGAATGATGAACCCCATTGAGATTCAAACAGAGGGAGAATAAAGGCCTGGCTTCAGGAAAATTATTTTTCAATGCAATCAATGCTTGAAGATTTGCACCTCCTCTAGTTAGTTCAGCAGAATAGAATGAATCTGAAGGTAACACAAATTCTTCCTCCACATATTGCTGGGTAAAATTCGCCTGGCAATACTTTTGATAAGTTATTGAACTCCACTTTTTCAAACAAGTCTGTGAAGTTGGACAGCTCAAATCACTAGGCAACTTTGGTAAGGTGTTTTGATCTAACTGTTGCAGCTGATTTGCCAAGTCACTCCTTGTCTTGAGTCGTTTCAGCAGAGTATTGATAACTGTCTCCACATTATTACAGGTTTCCTCACTGCCCATTTTCTTAGTTATAAAGTCCATACCACATACTTTTTGTGCCCAATTGTAAGCATGGCCTATTTGAGGAACTAGTGACTGGAAAGATGTGATGCCCACTTTTTTAATTTGGAATAGTGTAATTGGGTTTGGACTATTGAGACCAGAGTCACCTTTTACCAGTTCACCCAAAATGTTTTCTCCACAAAGGATGCCATGAGCAGTAAAGCCTGTTATGCTTGAAGGAATGTTTGTTTTAGAATTAACTGTAATGATCTTAAGTTTGGGATGATAGCAAAATTTTATGGAAAGTGATAAACCAGAGTTTAATTTTGCTGTTATTTCCACACTCAGAGGATGTAGTGCCAATAATTTTTTCTTCTTTTCTTCCATGGGATCTACTTGTTGCACAGATTTTCTGTGGCGCCTTTTTTTAACTTCCACTACCTCCTCAACTTCCACTTGATCAGGTTCTTGGTCAGATTCATCATCTAAGAGACTATTATCTTTAGACTCATTCATTTCTTTCCACAGAATAGCTTCATCTCTATCCCCTATTATTTCCACTTCTAAACTGACATTGAATGCATTTTTGTATGAAACAACATTAACATAAAACATGTAAAGGGGGTCAGCTAGTAAATGAGCAAGGTTATGTTCAATACGTAATTCACTGAATGAAATACCCAAGTGTTGTTGAAGTGGTCTGGTTGATTCTAATATCTTTGATAAGAGTGGTTTCAGAGCATCAAGTTTTTCTTTGTTTACCAGCAGATCATCCCCAAGTTTTTTTTGTTCCTGTACCAGGGACTTACAGAGCTGTGCAAAATTTTTGCGTTGAGCTAGTTCCCATTCAAGTCTAGCTAACCGTAGATTGTGCAATTGTTCTTGTTTACTTGGATCATAATTTTCAAATTTTTTTGACATTGATTCTGGTGCATCTTTCATGAACTCTTCTAGGGACACTAGCTCAATGTCTTCATCTTTTGACTTGAAAGCCAAACATTTATTAGTTTCAGTAACTAAATGGTGCAGTTCATACAATAAGTTTTGGTAGCTCAGTTTAATACTGTCACATTTTTGTTTCTCTGTTGTCAATGTTTCTCTACCAACTACATGCCTTATCTTGTCAATCCTATTAAGCTTTTTCAAAATGCATATCTTCAATAAAATATCAGTTTGCATTTCTCTGTTTATATTCTTTGTGGCAGAGCCTTGCTTCTTCTGACTGTGTATAACCTTCAACATCTCCCTGATATCATCACACATTTCAAAATAAATTTTGGCGTCCATTCCACTCTCTCGATTTGAAGCTTCTTTATCTTCGAAATCAATAACTCTTTTATAGATGTCGACCTCAAGTTCATTTTCAGGACCTGCTGATTTTCGTTTCTTCTTCAAGCTGGTACTGTCTTTCACCATTGTGACTTCTACACAAAAATAAAAGAGTTACAAAACAAATTAATCAGTACAGCTACCTCTTTATTACTACCAATCTCCGGAATCCAAATTTTAAAGTTTGTTTTCTGCGAAATTTAAATGAACGTTGAATCGTTTTGGTTTTCGACTTTTCGTACAATAAATTCTATCTAGGTTATCATCTGACCATCTAATATCTTCTATCGTCAATCTTCTCTTCAATGGCCTTTGCTCTATAACGCGATAAGCCAAATTACTTGCTGTAATTTAGCCTAGAAAACATCTTCTATTATTTATTGGTCTCTCGTTCCGTGAAGACATCCAGTCTCTAGAAAACAAACCAAGACAATATGGCAGTATTGGCAGAAGAAGAGAATTGTTGGTTATGTACAAGGAATCTCGATTGTTTTTTTATTTGTTTTTATTGAGATGTTTAAGTTATAAAAGCATCTCAGTTTTTATTTTTGTTTTTGCTTCGCTAAAGTCGACTGAACAAAAAATAATCCCAAACTACCGAAACCATTGTCAACCGATTCGTTTCAAACGGCTCTAGTTTAAGGGTCTAATAAAGGCGCCCCGATTTTGTCGATTTGTACTCACAAAGACCCGCAAGACAAGAATTCCCCACTGAGATGAATTATGATAAATTAATGAAAACTTATTATTTTGGTAGGAGACATTCCAGAGTGGTTGAGTGGTTCATTGATAAGAAATGGTCCTGGTTCATTAAAAGTTGGTGAGAAAGAATTATTCACTCATCTCTTTGATAGTTCAGCATTATTACACAGGTACAGTTCAGTTTTTTGTAAATTGATACATTTATTTTCATTAATTTAATCATTATTCAATCATAAATGATCTGGAATGCACTTCCATATTTTATAGCAGTTCATTTCAGGTTTGGAATAAATAATGGCAAAGTTACCTACCAGTGCAGATTTCTTCAATCTGAAATATATCAGAAGAACTGGTCTGCAAAGAGAATTGTTCTCACTGAATTTGGAACAAGATCAGTCAGTGATCCCTGTCATACAATATTTCAGAGGTACACAATTAACTTGAAAATCTAAATATTGTTGAATAGCTATCAGCACTGACTTATATCAGTTGAAGTCATTATTTTTTTCTCTGACCAGAAAAAAATTTTACATTTCATCTCTGCTGACAGGTTATGAAATATCACTTTTCATAAATTACTTTTTTCTCCACAGGAAAAAAATTAGTACTTTTTTCATATGTAATACCACAAGTGATACTATTTTGCTGGAAATATTCAGGGATTGTTTTGACAGCTTGTTGTCTAATAATTTCCCTGAATGACATTGTTTATCAAAACTTTCCAGCTGTATGTGAGAAGTTTTGGAACAATGTCATGAGTGAAATTAAAGCAGCAGATTATTTTCAGTATGAGCAGACAGCAAATTTGTATTCCTATGAGTATTCCATGATTGAGACAATAAATGAGCGGCTCGCGAGAGTTGCGCACACTGATGCCATTCCATCATTCTGGCTTCCAACATAATTGACCTTTCAAACGTCCAAAATTTTATCACTAAAAAATTTGGCTTCTGTATTGCTAGAGTAGAGCTAATCTGATAATATTTATTGAACAAAAAGTATCACTGTAATACAGAAGAAACCGTGAAAATGGCTGATTCTGATTGATTCTAGAGACCAAGAGTGGAATAGTCACAAAT